AATCGTATAAATTTATTATCCAAATAATAGTTCCCGCAAAGCATCGCACACTATGTTCAATATTCGGTCGACATGATCGCCCAGTAGAGTCGGTAACTCGAGCAGCCAAAGATCGGTTTCGTACCAAGTTTACTTTAGCAGATAATGCGCATCCTCAGAGACGGTGTACAGTGCGCACCGAAGACGCTTTTGTTGCTGTGGAGTAGAGCATCACCCAACGCGCGCAACTATTGGAACTGTGTCCACTCACTTCATAGAAAATTCTGCGGAAGATTCTTTGTTTGCGAGTTTACAAAATTCGTCGCTCGTTCAATGAAGAAGCCGAAACGTGATGACAGATTCCGATTTTCAAAAGAAAATTATCTGGTGTTACTCCACAAGCCATGGTTGAAATGTCGTTACAACCGCAAAAAATCACCGCTCTATGGGCAGAGGGAATCATTGTTCCATATTTCTTGAAAAATGAACGAGACGAATGACGCCTTGGAAGAGAATATTCGGCGCAGTATTGTTGTCATTCGGCCCCAATTGCTACAAAAAGTGGTCGAAAATTGGGCATCATGGCTGGGGCCAGTTCTTAGCAAATCTGTATATTTATAGTAAAGCTCAATTCTTAGCCATAATATTATTTTATACGCGTTTAATTTCTTGCTAAAAAACACATGCCTAAATAACCCTTTAATGCTCATACTTCCCTAACATAAATATGTATGTATGTAATCGCTAAAGTGATTTTCAACCGAGTTCTTCCATCTATTTGCGGTGAGCGTCTTAATGTTTTTCAAACAGATGGACGGACTTACAGTTTATTTTAAGCCTTCTCCGAACGAAATCCGTTTTCTAAAATTTTGGTTGTTGTTCGAGCATGGACTTAAACACAGGTCCTTCTGCATGCAGTACGCACTGCTAATCACTCAGCTATTGCACCTTATAAACCATTCGCTTTTGACCAAACTGTGAACTTAATACAAATAGGGCTGAATTTCTACTTTCAACTTATTTTATTGCAAAAGTTTTTTTCTTAAGAATAAAAGTTATTTTGTAGAGCCATAAAAATTTAATTAATTGCATACAACAATTTGTATTTAAAAGTGTGACTCAACTCATCATCAATGTCATTTGTGCATATTACTTTAATAGCCGGCGTTTTTGCATTCATATGTATGTACGAGTTGTCAAAGATCGAGTATATACATACATATGTCTAAGTGTCTTTCCGTTTATGCAATCAAAGACCGAATGAATCGATATGTACAGAAGCATGTGTTTACTTGTAGATTTTTAAAATAATCTTTGCTGTATGTAGAAATATTAAAAATAACTTGGCGGTTCCTTATCAACCCAAAGCATACGATTTAATGCAAACAAACAGGGTATGTTTTGTATAATCCATTTGTCGGTAAATTATGTGGAGTGATTGCACTGCAGTGTGTGCTACCCACTCACAGATTCACAGGTTCTAGACCAAGCCAAAACAGCATATAAAAAATTATAGAAAAATGTTTTTTTTTTAACTAATTTGAAGTATATTTTTGATAAAAAATAAATCAGGCGGCTTAACACTGTAGCTACCGCTATTTGCCCATAAACGGCTTAAGTGGTTATAAAGAGCTAATTAAGTGTTAGTAAATTTTAAGGCACATAATTATATGCGGCCGCGATGGCCGAGTGGTTAGCATTACGTTCTGCCATATCGAAGGACAGGATTCGAGACCTGATGCAACCAATATCAAATAATTATAGAAAATTAATTTAAATAAGAAACTTTCTAATTACGGTTGCCCCTCGGTAGGAAATGTCAACAAGAAATAAAGGCTCCTCATAAAAATTCAGTAGCCGTTCGAAGGCGGCAGGTATAAACTGTAAGTCGCTTCAATTGTTGGGAAAACATCAAGACCCAATTCCACAAATTGGAGGAGGAGCTCGGCCTAAAATTAATTCAGCGGTTACAAAGAACCAATTATATCTGTATATATATATATTATATTAAGTGCATATTTGTATAAGAACTATTATTTCACTATCGCGCGACCATGGATTTTAATGTTAATTGGGAATTCTCATTATACGAGGTGTGCTCAAAAAATATCGCGAATTTTGTGTTTTTTCTAAAAATATTTATTTATTCATGAATATCTATTTTGTTCCCTTCAGCGTAATCCCCATGAGATATTATACACTTGTGTCAAAAGGTTTTTTCCAATCTTCGAAGCACTACAAAAATTAATTTTTTTATCTTGTTCAGCTCCTCCTTCGATGCCGTCTTTATCTCGTCAATCGTAGCGTAACGTCGTCCTTTCATGGGCCTCTACAGTTTAGGGAACAAGGAAAAGTCACAGGAGGCCAGACCTGGAAAGCGGTGGCTGCGGCATTATTAGTGTGTTATTGTATTTTTGGCCAAAAAGTCGCGCACAAGCAACGATGTCTGAGCAGGGGCGTTATCGTGGTGGAAAAGCCAATTTTTGTTCTTCCAAAAATCCAGGCGTTTCTGGCGGATTGCTTCGCGCAAATTGCGCATAACTTGCAGGTAATATTCCTTATTGACCGTTCTACCCTGTGGCAAGAACTCATGATGCACCGCGCCCCTGCAATTAACTTTTTCGTCTGTTGTTGAAGGGCTCGGGCGTCCGGCACGCTCTTTGTAGTTCACATCATCTCGGCCTTCTGAGAACATTTTGTACCACCGATAAACGTTGCTTTGGTCCAAGGCACCTTCTCCGTATGCCACAGTCAACGTTCGGGATGCATCCGGGCACTTAATTTCGTTTTTCACACAAAATTTGATACAGGTTCTTTGATCAATTTTTTTGAATAGGTAAAAATCGAAGACCATTCAAAACACGTGCAAGCAAAGCAGCTGTCAACAATTAAGTGAACATTCAAAATAGCCGAGCTTGTCGGCATAAGTGACAGACATGAGTACCAACATAACGCCACAAAAAAATCGAAATACGGTTAAACGTAACCCGCGAAAATTCAAAATTCGCGATACTTTTTCAACACACCTCGTATGTATGTATGAAAAAAAGCGTTCAATATTTTTAATATGAAGAGAATTTCAGAAAATCCAAAAAAAAAAAAAACAAGAAAGAAGAACTATTTTTAATCCTTTCATGACCATATCAAAAATAATTCTCATAACTGAAAACTCGGTTGTATGGAGCTTAAAAATATAATTTTACGATTTCGATGATTTTTTGGCGCAAATGTGCTTTTTTGACTCAAGTACTGATTCGATTACTTTCAGTGCCAATATTTATTTGTATGTACGTGAGCAGCATACCGAATTTCAGAAAATTTAAAGAATGGACGTTTTACGGTACCAACGTAAGATTCATTAAATGTCATGATCTTGTATGCTTTTTTGACGAATTTACGAGCCAAATTCTCAAATCACATTTTTTGTGAAAGAAAATAACGATATTTAATATTCTAAATCTATCATGGATAGTCTGAAATAAGCCCTTATGCATTTAATTTCAACCATTCGCTTTTTAAGAACAGATAACAAGTTTTGAGGCTACTCAGTTATACTACTTTTTTTTAATTCATAAGCATCAGTGTAACTTCAGTTTTGAGACTCCGTCGCGAAAAAGTATTTATTTTAAAGATAATTCATAATTTTATGTATGTGTGTATGTAGCCCAATGCATTAGCTCTAAAGTGATATCACATTTTCTCAAGACCCTTCGGTATTAATCAACTTATGACCTATTATATAGGGCTGCCATCGATGTTTCTGTCACCCTCTTAATTGCTAGAGAAATTTTTTTTAAATATTTCAAGTTGACTTCAGTCATTTTTGGCATGAAAGTAAAGCATTTGCTTAATTTTTGCTAAATCGAAGGCCAACGTGCAGACGTCTTATGTGTTTAATATGGAATGGCCGCATATACATATGTATGTATGTACTCCTATGTACATATATATATTATATTATATGTATCTTAACCAAATTATAATGAATAAGACAGAAAATTTTTTATTGTCTAATTGGCGCCGCAGTAAAAATTTTGCTGAATATAGTATTACGTATGTATGTACTAATGTACATATGTATAATAGAATGACATATGTATATTTACATTCAACAAAAAATTTACACCGTGTGCCCAAAATTCACCTATGCACACAGACACATTACAAATGTATACTCGTACATATGTATTTTCTGGCTTAGATATATATACATGTAATCTATGTAAATTACTTAAAAAAAGCCACTAGAATTTTTTTACTTGTCACGTTAATGCCTTCTGAAATGTTTTCAAATTCTGCCAAATATTGTTTTGGAATTATTCTAATAAAATTTCAGCGCCTATTAAAATTTACATAATTTAGTATTATACAATATTCCACAATAGCGCACTAGTAAAATACAGGGGCACGTGTTTCAACTTTAAGTAAATTGGTATTGAAATGTTCAGCGAGCAATGTGTGTAACATGGCTACATAGTAAACTTTTTCTATCGGCAAAAAGTATTGTATAAACAAACCGGTCTACAGACATACGTATCTACTGTACAACCATTCATGTAGATACCGATACATAAAAATAGCTATGAAGCACAACGTACATACAAACATACATATGTTATGTACATAACATACACACATAGCTGCTCCGTAGAAGACAGAAAAAAAGCGGCAAACTTTTATAATTTTTGTAGATGAATTGTGAAAAAATACTACTTTTGTGTTAATAAAAAATAAGTAATTCATAAATTTTGGTATTATCAGCAAAATAATACAGAATAAAATGTACTACTATCCTACTGAATATACATACATACGTATGTACATATATTTTTAAATGCTGTTTAATTATCGCCAACCAAATATTAGCTGCTCAATCAATGCATTTTCATAATTGCAGCTGATAAATATTTCAGCACTAGCACTAGGCAATAAGTAACCACCAATCGCTGCTTATCTATGTGACAGCTGTCTGCTGGCTTCCCTTTCCGTTCTTATTTAAAAGTATTAGAAATAAAATTCACCTTTTCTTGTTGTTTGCATGAATTTCCCAGTGGCGATTATATTAGAGCAGAAATATTTTGCATCAAATTTGTTTCTTCAAAAATTTTAACACTTTGCACTCAATTAAAAATTTACTTATTCAGCTTAGTTTGGTTATTGCTATGTATGTATGTATGTAGAAGCGAAATGCATTTTACCACCTTTGCCACCAACGACAGCATATAAATGCGCGCGTATTTTACACTACACTGCAATTGACAATTAGACAAACAGCAATAAAAACTATATGCTCTCTCACAAGAAAGGTATGTATAATTGTAAATATGTACATATATTTTATGCACAATAGTATATTTTCATATTTGTTAAATTTTTTGTGGAAACACTTTGCACACGTCTTAATTTTTGTACACTTACATACATACGTATAGTATGTAAGGCATTTCTGTATGTACATATATTTTAAAATATTTTCTAATATTAAAAAAAAAAAAACCACGCCACGGAATAACAACACGACCGACCGATTCACTGGAAGAAGCAAAATGAGTTGTCTTATTATAAACAGAAAATGCTTCTAAAAATGTGAACTCAACAAATTTCCGATTCTGCTTTGCTCTGCACGTTTACCAGCAAACAGGGGGAAAAACAAACTGGCAAGTGACACAGTGCCGCTGCATACAAAATTATCTTGTATATGCATATATATGTATGTATGCATTTGAAAACACTACGTTGCGATAGTGAACAATGATGCATTGCGATTGTAGACTTTTAATTTTTCCCCTTTCTTAAGTAGATCACAAAAGTTTACTTAATTTTACCACAAATATATAAAAAATTCAAATTTGTTACTTTTTATCGATATATTTAAGTAAAAATATTATTAGCAATTAAAAATTTTATAAAATTAATTTGTTAGAATTACGCGATGATCATTCCTTCCAATATGGTAACATGCCATATGACAATTCACCATACCGGTATTTTTTGGAAGAAGAAGAAATTTTGTGACAACCGGAAAGATCATTTGCTTTGGATAATAAATTTAATTTAGAAAGATACTAATATTTTATGAAATTACTCTTAAATTCAACTACATTTGCAATAATAATGAGAAAAAGCAAGAAAAATGAGGATGAAAAACTGTGAAACCAACTTCAATTGAGCAAACGTCCAAATGCGTTTATCTACATACATACGTAGGCATGCATAAAAATATTGGCGTTAATATGCATATTTATTTCAGTGGGCACTAGATTTGTGCGAGATTTTATATAAAATTTGCGTTTTATCTAATTTTGCTCGCAATTTCTACGAATTTTTTTTTTATTATATAACTCATTGTTAGTAACGCAAATGTTATTCAACGAGGAAGTTTCTTAAATATTATATTTAATAAATTATTTAAGTAAAATAATTGAAACTTTAAATTCCAAACAACGAAGAAATACCAACTAATTGCGTATAATTATTTTTACCGAACTGCGCTTATTGATTATATTACCAGACTGTTGCCAACATTGAACTTGATTGCGGACCTCAGTTGAAAAATTTAAACTTCGCATGCATATACATACATACATATGTACGTATGTCAGCTGAATAGCTGTATACTTATTTTGCACATAACAAACAATAAAACCACAACAAGACAATAACAACCATAACAACAAAAACGCCAGTCAATATGCAATGGACTTAATGACTTTGGTTACAGCCCATTGCCTTTGCACATCGCGATAAAGGCAGGAAAGCAGTAAGGCGGACAAGGAAAGGACCAAACACAAAATGCAAACAAGTTCAGCTGATTGGCAATCGTTGACTTTATAATTACGTTGGACTTTCGTGAATCGACGTATCGTTGTATCGACGTTTATGTGTTTGTGTGTGTATATATGTATGTATGTGTTGTTCTCTTTTACTGACACCAGCAGCAACTAGTTCGTGGCATAATACGTTTTTCAGTATTGATTTATTTTGTTAATAGTATATTTAGGTGTTGTCGTTGTTGTTGTTAGCATGCATTTTCAAATAGAGAGGCATACCAGGTATACATACACATAGCCATTTACGTGAAATCCTTGAAGTTGATAATTCATTTATACAATATATGTGTGTATGTATGTATATGTATGCATGGCATATAAATTTGCACCTACAATATAATCTAATGGTCATTTAAAAAAATGGTACATATTCGTGAGTAAAATTGAAAAAGTGGAAAAAGGAGGTGTGTACCATGTACATACATACATGCATATGTATGTACATCCCTTTGAATATTTTCTTTAATTATGCACACATGTGGCAAACGTTGTTTTTGTGCAACAAAATCTCTACGCAAGCAGTTTTAGTAGTTATTACGAAACATTCGTTTACACTATGTACACTCGTTAAATCCTTGAATTTATAGTCTCATTCGTATGTATGTAAGTGCCAACGACCAATTGCCAACTGCTGCTGATGGCGTAAAGGCGCCTTGAATGAGAATGTCCTTGTACTTGAATTTTAACACATTCTATCAGCCGGCCGCATGGTTGCACATTTGTCGGAAAATATATGTATGTATGTAGTGCCGAATATTGACTCTTGCACATTTACTGATAGTGGAGCACAAGTAGGGTGAGTTTTGGTGCATTTGTTGCGTAATGAAGGTTTTTTCGTATTATTTTTTTTTTCATTTAACTGCCGAAAGTGAAATGAAATGAAAAGTTCAATTAAATTGAATTTCATTGAATTGAAAAATCTTTGCCGATAATGTACAAACGTAAAAGCGAAGGTAACTTTTTTTCTTTTTTTATATTTATTGTCCTTTCACTACGTGCTTAACATAGTAAAAATACATATTTACATGTAAAAGACAAGATTAGCAATGCATAGTACTATTCGCAATGCCAGCGTCCGACCAACATCCAAAGTTAAAGTTAATTTTTCTAATTGCAGAGGCGACTAAAATAAACTGTAGGTCCCTCCATTGGTTGGAAAAACATCAACATGGCTTCAGCGGCTACAAGCCCCCAATTATATATTTACATATTACATATAGCGGTACTTCAGGGATTTTCGTATATGTGTTCTTCTGGTTCGCCTTATCAGAAATACTGTAGGTAGCGCTGCTGAGCCAAATGGAATTATTTATCTGAAGTTTTAGTTGAGTTTCTTGACTTAGGAGAGCTCAAGACAATCTTTTAATTGTCTAACATCTATCAACTCTTAACAGCTGGAAACTTTGAAAATGCTCTACCAACCTTCTGCTTCTCTCTATATAGACAAAATTTCCAAAAGGAACTTTCGAGTTTCTTGAAAATAATTATAAACAAAAACCTCCCTACAAGTATGCAACACTTTCTGTTTATTAACCTAAAAATAAAATTTCAAAGAAAATATTTCCTTAGAGCTTTTTACTCGTTGTTAAAGATTTTATATATGAAGGGCGATATTAAAAATGTCCGATGAATAATATAACATTATAAACCTCAAAGGAGTTCCGAAATTGTTTTTTGAAGAAAGTCTTGAAGTAAATGTTAAGACTCCTTCCTTATGTGGTAGCGAACTCGTAGAATGTTCTAATAATTTGTTTTTCGTAAAAGCTTTTTATACAACTCTTAAGTTTTTATTTCACTGACTTATGTATTTTAATTTTTTCCCACTTTTTTAGGAAACTTTTTGCTCTAAGCCACAAAACCATAAACCAGCGATTAAACTAATTTTTGAAAATCCATTGAGAATTTGTCATGGAATTTGTGGGCTTTCAGGAAATATTAGCAGGGTCTGAGTTGATTTAAACTCAACCAAATTTGTCGCATAGCGGTAATTTAACTGAACTGCTTTTTTTTTAGTTGCTCACAACACTGATAATCTTTACCAAAAAGTTATTCAACATTTTCCTTTTCGGCATGTATACAACTACAACAACAATACTGGCAACAAAAGTTTCATAACAACACAAACAATTGTTAGTATTTTCACACCAGCGAAGAGGCGTGTATTCATCCAAACATACATATGAACACGCATACATATGCATTTTGAATTGCATTGTATGCAAAACACATGCCACATAACAATGTTTTTGTTAGGATAGGATAGACGGCAGCGTCAGCAAAAGCAGAAAAGTACCAGCAATAACGGTTAATGGCTGCAGCTACGATTATTACACCTATATATACAATATTATGAGTAAATAAGTCGGCTGTGAGACAAATAACAATTGCGTGCTCTTGCAGAAATTCAACTAAACAGAATTATATTTGAGGCAACAGCAAACAGTGTCCGCCCGGCTCAATTCTCTTTGCAGACAAAACATCTGATTTTACAATTTTGACAACTGCACAAAAGCTTTCAACGCCAAACAAAACAACCGTGTATACCTTACAGACAAGTCAAATACTGTGGTAAATGTTCAAATGTCAAAATGTGAAAGGAAACAAGTATTGCATACAAGGCGTGCACAACTATTAGTTGATATTGGCTGTAAAGGAGACGGCAAACTCGTTTCCTCTACGTTTACCAACACACAGACATATCTTCTTGCACGCGCATTCATGACAGTGGTTGCTGTTTTGTGCCAAGAATAAATAAAGGTGTTTGGTTACTTGCCGAGCAAGCAAAATTATATGCTAATTTCTATTTCTTCTTCTTCTTAAGGCAATATGTACGTATGTACAAGTGTTTGTATTTTTGTGCTTATAAAGGCTTCCGATTTGTGGGTGTATATGATTTAATGTGTGCCCAAGGGCTCACTCGAAGCCTAAAAAAAAAAAATGTATGAAGAAAAATAATTTACGTCAAGCGATATCTCCAGCGTCCGATACACTTTGTCACACTCTTCACATATGTACACATATATAATATTTATGTAAATGCATGTGCTTGTAATTCTGCACACGCTCGATTTCTACAGACATATCTATCTATACATATTCACTAATAGCTTGCAAAATAGTTGTACCATTAAAACATTATATAATAATTTTGTACAACGTCTGCCGCAAGCACACACACACTCGCACACATACACAGGCGTACACCTCATATCAGACAGGAAATTTTTTTTATCCTGCAGCTGTATATTAAAAGAGATTTGCGAATGTCTTAGACAAAAAGAAGCATACTTTCAGGCAACAATTTTTACGTACATTTTTTCGTTAAAAATACATTTCCAACTATTACTTGTGGTTCATAGCAGCAAATTAAATTGAATTTTACAGCGCTTATTTAACATTTTTAAACAGATTTTCGTTTGAACTTTTCTATTAAAACGGAAAAAGTACACTTTAGTATATATTTCATTGAAAATTCAATGCCTTTCTTTTACTGGATGTATATTAAAGCCGCTCCGAAAATATGTATATGTATGCACGTATGTATGTATTATTTGTATTTTTTTTTTTCCTACAACTTCATTTGAATTTTATTAATTGCACGTTTAAAGAGATCGTTTGAGTACGTTGGAGTTTTGCATTAAATTTGCTGTTTTCATATAAACAGCAAATAGTTTTATATGATTTTTATGAAAATTTGTAAATCTGTTTTCGTAGAATTGATTGGCTGCCATTTCTTTAGACGACTCGAACGATGACTGAATTTTTATGTACTGACTGAAAATTTTCTTGGACCACCTCGGTCTAGGCACTTACGTAGCAGACGTCAGAAGCAGCAGATGTTTGACATTTGTGTGCTGCTGCATGGAGAAACGTATGAAAGCTTTGACGGTTAGGCTGCAAAAAGCTGTTTGATGCATGCATAAAGAGAAACGGATATTAAAAGGAGAAAATAAACTTATTTTAGACCAGTTTTCGACTATTTTTCAAAGCAAACTTAACTTTTAATAGACTATCTATATATCATAAGCATTGAAATATTTTCACTACAATAAATACCAAGACTACAATAAAGACAAGACAATAAATACCAAGAAAGAAGTTTTCCTCGAAATTATATTTTTGTCATTTTCGACGCTTCCACCTTAACTATGGGTTTTAGTGCACTATTCAAAACATTTCGCCGTAAAGCTTATATCCTTTGAATAGGACAACGGATCGCGATTATTTTTAATATTTTAATGCTATGTTTTTTGATATATGTACTTAGCTTCCGCGGTAGCCGAGTTCGTGTTCAAATCACCATGCGACCAACATCCAAATGTTATGGAAAAAAACTAAGTAAAATTTTCTAATTGCGGTCAGGGAACATGAAATAAAGCTTCTCATAAAAAAAACTATTAGTGGTTCGGAGGCGGCTTAGTTTAAACTGTAGGTCTCTCCATTTGCTGGAAATACATCAAGACGCAAAGCCACAAATTGGAGGAAGTGCTCGACCGAAAAACGCTTCAGCGGTTACAAAGCGCCAATTATGTATATATACATATATATATTTATATATCTACATTTCAATTTTATTTATTTTTATTAAGTATCTTCCTCTACTGATGATTAGGTGAAGTTAATATATAATTACTTTGCTATTCCCCACAGTGAATACCCGTTTTCCCGTTACTGTAAATTCCCATAGACTATAGACAGACTTTGAATGAAAATTGTCATTAATTTTGTTGTGAAGTAAATACATTGGAAGTTTCTCTGAATATTATTAAAAAAGAAAACAACTGCAAGATTTCTTACTAGAAGTTTTCCTATATTAACAAAAACACACACAGAAACAAACTATTTATGTCTATTTAAATATTATTTAAACGAAATGGCCGTTGTCTTATTCATAATTACCATTCCGACAGAGGGGGAGGAATTGCAGTTGCGGAGTGAATTTCGCAGAAGGAAACTTGATGCTGGCGCCAATTCCATGCCAGACGAAAAAATTATACTTACACCAATAACAACAAAAACTACAGCCACCTTATCCAATATATCGAGTGCAACAACTGCCACGACTGCTGCTGCTGCCTTCAATAATTTAAATGAACAATTCACCGCGAATGCTACTAATGAAATCGATGTTGTTAGTCTTGGCGCCAAAATGGATAATCCAATAAATTCTCAAAATATGGATCAACAGCAATACAGCACTTTTCCGAAACGGCGTAAGTCCGAAGGGCATAAATACATATTTAATGATGCCGGATATCTGCTCAAAACTTCAGCCTTTAGAGATAGCAATACCGGCAGCGTATCCGATAGTGCGAGAGATATCGACATAGAGAATGTTGTAAGTTTGCTAATTAAAATAAAAAAGATTTTGCTCTAAATGATTTTTTATGATGATTAGGATGGTCCTCCTTTTATACGAAAATCATGGGAAGGTTTACGTGATATTCTGTCATCTTCCAGTCGGAAGAGAAAGAGAGATTCATCACGTTTGAATATACCAAGTGACGCTTGCATGGAGACGGTGTTGCGGGAAATTTTGAAAGGATCTCAAATATGCAATGCAGTTTGGACGAAGGACACAGATGGACGTATGCATCAAGTGGGTATATGTTATATACTTAGATACACATATTTCTATATTTATAGAAATAAATAAAAAAAATTTTAAGTAATAAATCTTGTTATGAATTTCCTTTAATGCTACATTAAATCAATCGTTACTTTTTTTTTAAGATTATATTTACAGTGGAGTTTAATGAAACTTATGAAAATTTGTTGGACAAACTTCACGAGTGGGGTATTGGTGATCGAGCTGGCTCAACTGTGTCTGTTATGAATTGTTTGGTTTCAAAAACGTTTCGGCCTGATGTCGATAATGAATTTCCAGAGCAAAACGACGATGTGTAAGTAGGCTTTTTGTAGCTCAAATAAGAACGCGTTAATATTTGTATATTTATTTTATTTCCATGTTTTTTAAAGCAATTTAAATGAACAAAAACAAAGTGTTTGGAATAGATTCATGAACTCGGTAAGAAGTCGATTGAATGTGGCGCAAATTGTGCGCGATGTTCGACAGGATGCCGCTATTACATTTGATTTTATCATATTGCTAATATCCGCCACGTAAGCTTTTACTTTTCCGAAACAAACTATCATTTGTAGATGACTTTTCTCAACAGGATTCTAGCAGCTATTGGTTTGGCTGAGGATAGTACAATTTTTCTGGCAGCAAGTATGCTTGTCTCTCCCTTAATGGGTCCAATTATTGCTGCGATTTTCGGAACTGCCATCAGAGATCCGACACTGCGTACTTTGGGTTTGAGGAATGAATTGATTGGTATATTAATAGCAACAATTGTTGGTTTCATTTTCGGCATTGTTATTTGCTCCATCGACGAGCGGTATGGCAATGGTGAAGGTTTGACAGCAGAAATGCTTTCGCGTAGTGAGCTACACTCATTGTTGGTTGGCCTCTTTACCGCAATACCTTCCGGTGCTGCAGCCGCTGTAGCGATTTTGGGTGGAAATATTGGTTCGTTGGTGGGTGTGGCGATATCGGCATCGCTCCTGCCCCCGGCCATTAATGCAGTGAGTGAAATATTTTTTGGAAACTTTGTAATATTTAAATTTTATTTATTTCCATTGAATATTTTTAGGGCGTCCTCTGGGCTTTGGCACTCATTTATAAGCTTTTTGAAAAAGACGATTCACGTTTTAATATCGTTGTGAAGTCACATACCTTCTCCAACAACCAAGCTGCTGAATTATTATTTTTAGGTGTGATTAGTATGTTAGTGACCATATCGAATATAATATGTGTATATATAATGGGCGTGTTGGTATTGAAAATTAAGGAGATTGCACCTGTGATTTCTAGAAATCATCGAGAATTTTGGAAACACGATATAAAAATTGCGCGAGGACTGCCCAAAAATGGTATCGATACTAATACCGCACTGATCGATGAGTTTGCTAACCTGCCGCAAGAAGATCAAAAAACTCTGGGTATAGATTATAATTTATTACGGACAATACGCTTAGACGATGCCTCATACCAAAACACTTGGTCGCCCATTGGAAATAGGCAGTTATTCGATCGATCTGCGCTAAATGTTATAAGAGATAACTATTCGACTGTGCATCAAATCGAACGCATATACTCCACTATAAACCAGCATCAAACATTTCAATCCAGGAGGTAACAAGTTGTTATGAAAAATTTAAAGAATAAGAATTACATACATATGTGTTCCGTTTTAGAACCCGCTGTAGTTTAAATCGTCATCCTACTACACTTTGCAGCGCTTACAGCAAAACTTATGATATATTGCCAGCTTCTGTAATTATGAACATATTCTTTTATTTCTAATAATATATGTATATAAATATTATTTCATTTAAAAGATACCACGCTCTGCAACAATGCCCACTCAAGCTAATTGTCCTACTATAAGTATTTTAAAAGCAATGGGTGAAACTGGCTCTTCTACAGCTAATCCATCTTCGCAATCTTCAATGACTAATACCCCAACTACTACTATCGACGAACGTAAACGACGCAAATTTATCGTAACACCAGCAGAGGATCCAATAAGGATCTCCATTAACTATGACGAAATGGATGCTTAGCGGACTCGAGAAGCATACAATGGAATAGTGTTCATGCAACAGTGTTCTTGCATGAATTGCATACATTTCTACATTCAAATATACATTTCAAATCAAGTTTACACACGTATTACATAATTTATTATTATTTTTTATTTGTATTGTTTTTCTTCATATTTAAAACAATTTACAATTACTTAAATAACCACTTTAGTTTTATTTTTATTTACAAATCTGTAATATTTGGACCTTGCCTCGAGGATTTAGTTAGGGATCTTTGGCGCTTTACCAACAGCCGATCACGCGCAGCTCTTTCATGTCTGTGCAATACCAATTAAAATTTAGAAAATATATAGTTCTGATTTTATATATTTGTAGCTTACCGACGACGCAACTTTTCAAGTGTTTCCTCTGACGGGGCGGCCTTTTCGACTTCGTATTCTCGTATTAGTTTGCGCAGTTTCTCCAAGGCATCAGCCAAATTCAATTGTTGTGATCGCGTCATGTCGCTTTTAATGACAAAGTAACCATCTTTGGTTAGTTTATTCTGCAACTAATGTAGACAAGATTTACAATATAAAAATATGAAATACACACAATATATTTAACTATTATAATTATACAACCGAAACCATATTAATTACAGGTGTTAAGAATTAAATACATATTGTTATTTTTTATTGAATCGCGCACATACGTAAATATTAAAGTATAAATATAAATAACCGGTTTCAAAACCCGGTGCGACCAAGATCCAAAAGTTATAGAAAAATAATTTAAATAAAGAATTAAATTGAATTTTTTAATTGCAGTCGCTCCTCGGCAGGGAATGTCAACCCCTCCAAATGTATGTTCGGAGGCGGCTTAGTATAAACTGTTGGTCCTTTCTTTTGTTGGAAAAAAATCAAGACGCACAACCACAAATTGGAAGAGCTCGGCCGAAAATCGCTTCAGCGGTTACAAAGCGCCAATTATATATTTATCTATGCAAATAACCAAACTTTCACGAAGATATCTGTTGGAACTAAATATATATATATAACTAGCTATTGAACTTACACCTTGTAATAGTTTTTGCCTCGTCTTTTCCGGGATCCAGTCAGCACCGGCCAATTTGAAACGTAGATCTACTTTCGTGTTTACGCAATTCACGTGCTGTCCCCCTGGTCCAGAACTGCGGCTATATGTGATTTCCAATTGATTAATGGGTATGTAACCGGAAAACTTTTCAGGTGTACTTTGGGGCTACAAATTTCAACATATAAGTCACAAATAACGGAAAAATATTTTCGTTTCATTTACTTACTGGAGGAGGTGTAAAAAGTTTCAGACGGCTATTGGGGTATATTTTATCCAGCGATAAATCGCTCTTGAATGACAGTCGACGTCCAAGGACAACTGATGATGTGTAAGCTTTTTCGGTGCTAGCATAACGTAGAACAGATATAAAACTGCAGCAAATTTTATTCATTTTTATCAAATAGCAAATTTTATTAACTCAAGAAATTATGATTATTATTAGACCAACTTTTTTCAATTTCTGGCCAACAGCTGATAGTTTTAGTTTTTAGTAATGCCAATAAATTAAAATTATAACTGATCAGTGTTGGTGTTTTGATAATGACAAACCACACTTCTCTTGCTTAATTTCAAAACTTATGGAAAAAATTATTATAATCATAAGAAGCAGCTTTACAGTTGTTCCTGTTGTGTGGGTTCAAAGTGTGGGATTTTTAGCTTTCTCTGTATATTGCGAATGAAATGAAGGGTGCGAACTAAATGCAATGCAAATGTGAATTTACTAAATTTCTAATCAGCCAAGAGTGGCAGCATCAATTTAACCCCCTGCAAAAGCAGCTGATTGTTAAAACGTGTGCGCGAAACAAATTGTAAAAATTATGGAGGTAACATCAAAATATCACACAAAAGTGTGTGGAATATAAATAACACAAAAATGTAGTAATAAAAAATTTATTTAAGGATTCAACTGGCCAACCAGTAACAAGTATTGGCGCATCTGAACGCGTGATTAAGGAACGTAGTGCTGAGATAATTGCTGGAGGTAGCGTCTTTTATAACCCAGTACAGGAGTTTAATCGTGATTTGAGCATATCGGTGCTTAATGTTTTTGCAAAAAGATTCTTAAAAGAACGAGCTCAATCTGAAAATGTAGAATTTGACGATAGCACGTTCGTGGCCGGTGAAAAGTGCGAGAATGGTTTAAGGATTTTAGAAGCGCTCTCAGCAACAGGTTTGCGAAGCATACGCTATGCTAAAGAAATTGCTGGAGTACGAGAAATTATTGCTAACGATCTGTCAAAGGCTGCTGTAGCGTCCATTAGTGAAAATGTTCGCCACAATGCTGTTGAAAATTTAATTGTGCCAAGCCAATCAGATGCAATGTAAGTTGAAAAGCTATTTAAAAAAAGGAAATTAAAATTTGCTTAACATTTTCCTAGGACACTCATGTATCTCTCCACGTCTAATGAGAAGCGCTTTGATGTAATTGATTTGGATCCTTATGGCTGTCCAAATCGCTTTTTAGATGGTGCATTGCAATCTATCGCCAATGGTGGTTTATTGCTTGTCACAGCTACAGATATGGCTGTGCTAGCGGGAAACACACCGGAGGCATGCTACGCCAAATATGGATGTGTTCCACTGCGTATGAAATGTTGTCATGAAATGGCTTTACGCATTCTGTTACATAGTATAGAAACGCACGCAAATCGCTATGGGAAATACATTGAACCCCTTTTAAGTATATCAGCCGATTTTTATGTACGAGTTTTCGTAAGAATACACACTGGGCAAGCAAAGTGTAAATACAGTATGAGGTGGGTAATAGTTAATATTTATTTTCATAATCGTTTAATCGCAATTAACTAATTTTATTAAAGCAAACAGTCGATGATATTTCAATGCACCGGTTGCGAAACGTTTACATTGCAACCTTTAGGCAATGTCAAAGTCAGCACAACAGACAAAGGCAAATCTCAAACCAAATTTGGTATACCAACCGGACCAAGTGTTGGAACCAACTGTGAACATTGCGGTCACAAACATCATGTAAGATATAAATGAATAAATACGCCGATTATTCATTTGCTAAAATATCTTTTAAATTTCAGATGGGTGGCCCAATATGGTCTAATCCGATTCATGATCATGGTTTCGTTAAAGAATTGTTACAAACAATAGAGGAGAGACCACTCTGTGAATTAGGCACACATCGACGTTTACAGGGTGTGCTGTCGGTGGTGCAAGAAGAACTGCTCGATGTGCCGTTGTACTATGTACTGGATAAACTTTGTTGTGTCCTTAAGTTGGAAAATGTGCCGGTATTAAAATTTCGGTCCGCGCTACTGCATGCAGGATATCGAGTTTCTTTCTCACATGCCAGTAAAAATTCAATTAAAACCGATGCGCCTACAAGTGTAATATGGGATATACTCCGATGTTGGGCTAAACGGCATCCAGTGAAAGAGAATCGTATGTTGGATGGTACACCAGTGAAGACTATTTTGCAGCGGCCACCAACAAAAGACTATGTTTTTGACGATATTCATCCCGAAGCAAATCCGTACAGCCGACGAAATGCATTAACACGTTTTCAGGAAAATCCTACCGCACATTGGGGTCCCGGTACAAGAGCAACCATAATGTAAAAAACTTTTTTAAAATAACACTGTTCAAGTTGCACATACATATTATAATTTTTCAGGATCGGTCAAGACAAAGTGGCCAAGAGTTTTCGAAACCAGAATAAGAAACAAAAACAGAAGAGTACAGATAAGGATAACACTGCTAAGGAAAATAGCGATGATGAACAGAGCAAATGCAAACAACCAAAATTAGAAACGTGATTCTTAGTTTTCATAATGATATATTTCTTATTAATCAAGTTTTAATAAAAGTTTTTTTTTTTTTACAAATTTTGAATATCTACTTGTGAAATAGTCGGTAGGGTATAATCCAATCCTTCCACTGCATTCACAAGATTAGTAAATACAACTAATAACGGAAGAAGTTTCCATCGCCCGTTTGCCGTGAAAAGCCATTATTAACTAACTGATTGTGTACACCACTGTTAATCAGTTTAACACTATGGGGTGAAATTTTCTCCTTTATACCACCGATTTTCAGTGGGTGTTTGTGCTTATCGCCGGCCGAAACCTGGACCGTTTTGACATTTTTCAGTACGCGGAAAGTAGTCAATTCCATTATATCACCGGTTTCATCATCAGTTGGCTGACAAGGACAAGTCTCTTTTTGCAATAATGTGTCAACACGTTCTGGAAATATTTCGCGAGAATGATCATACCGCGATTGCAACTGAAAGTCCAAAGAATCGCACGGTATTTCAGGCGTTGCAAGAAAGCGTTTACTTTTCCGTACAGAGTTTAAAGTCTGGTGATAGAACAGCCGTTCATATGGTTTTAAGTCTGCAAACCACAAACCACCTGCAGGAACTTGGGGTGGTTGGGGCATTGGGCAAAGATAAATACCCTCAGTACTCAAGTCGGGTTCAAACCAGACATTTCTTACACGCACTTTCACTTTTGACATTTGATTGTTCTTACAATTCATTCTTATTTGGAATTTATTTAAAATACAAAATTACCGAATATACAAAAGACGCGTTTGATTGAGCTTTTTAATAAAATATTGCCTACGCCTACTCGGAGTTAAATCGAATACATGGCAATGCCATGGAAATATATAAACAGTTCTTAGCCTTGGTGTTATCAAAATTCAATAAAAGGAACATAGTCATAACCGAAGTAACGACAACGTTAATTTTGTGTAGACTAAGGTCCAACAATATCCTCAGCTATTATTTCATTCTTTCCAATCAATTACATTTTTTTTCGCAATATGTATGAATAAAACTCGACTTTTTCAGAAAATAAAAATTTATTAATATTTGTTTTGCAGAAATATAAATAACTCGTAAAATACTAAATTGTTTTATAAAGGAAACTCACAGTTACCTACCTGTGGCGATACCATACTTGTTTAATATTCCACTCATCTATGGCCAGCCAACATCGAAATGTAGTTAAGACATCGGAAATTCGGCAACAATTTGGTTATTACCTGTGCTGCAAACTTGAAATAAAATTTTTCGGAGAAACGGCAACTATGAGAACTCGAAACGCCAGACCACCAACTAACTACCACCCAAACGAAGTTGAATAACGTACGAGGAAGCGTACTGAAGTGAATAGCAGCAACATACAGCCACCGGACTACAGCTGGCGAAGGAAAGCATGTATCCTGGCATTATCTGCCAGTTCACCAAACGCATTTACATATGTCTGTTGTTTAACATATACTGAACTGGGCTGCTTTCACATATTTCACCGATATCTGAGATTTCGTTGAATTTTGGTCTAATTCTGGTATTGAGATTTATGTACGTAATATAACTTCCTATTCGTACACCGCTCCACTGCTGCGCACATGCACACTTAAACCGCCGTCTGCCCCTATCAGATATGAGAATTAATTGACTGTTTCTGCAAACTAATAATCATATCAACATCTCCTCTTTTTTTTAAATACGTTACACCGTTATTAAGACTGGATTGACGCAGCAACTTTGGTCAGTAAACAGCAATAATTGTTAGCTTTAATGATGCGAACTCGAATAAATTAACGCTTATCACTTGAATTAATACGTTTCTCTAAGCGTTGTTCGAGAAATAAATCAAAGTGTTAAGCATAATTGACAGCAAATTTGTTAAGTTCAGCGGCTAAAAAGGTGTAAAAAATATTACGCTGGAACAACTGCAAACTGCGGCTGTGGCAGCAACAAGAGTAGCAGGAGTACGGTTATACTAAATTCGCTACGCAGCTGCCATCAACGAATTTATCAATCTGCCTCCTGCGCCTTGCACATTTCGCCCCAAAATATTCATATACATTTCTTTCTTAATGTCTGCCTCAATCTTTTTCGCACTTTAACAGCAGCCCTTACAGCAATCTTTGTTTGCCTGCATTATATAGAAGTGTAAAAAATATATTACCGCCATGTAAGTACAAGTGATTCATATTAGTGTAAACTACATAAAAATTACACAAAAGTTTAGCAAATCAATAATGCAAACATTGAATGATGTGTTGTGTAATTCATATGTAGGCCAGTATAAAATCTTCGAGTTGTATTGACAACTTTTTTTTTGTGTAAATTAGTCAATAATCACGTTGAATTCTTAAAATTAACTCTTGCCTGCTATTATAGTTGTACGTATTCTTACTAAACTGAATTATTTTTAATACATTTATTTCTTTTTTTTTTATAAAACTTACAATAGATTCTGATTACTTTCAGTTTACATAGAAGAGTAAATAATTTTGCAAAAAGAAAAAATAAATATTTAAACTATATTGGCCCCTTACACTCCTTCTTAGTGAGTGTTATATAAAACTATACCTTAATTTCCAATTTATGGATAATAAACAAATAAAAAAAATAGCTTTCTAAACTAAATGTAACCTTCCTTCATTCTTTCACAAATTAGTAACATTGAATTCTTCCAATAATTATGTAAATATATTTCATATATTCAACGTTTTAGTCTGAATAATCGACAAGTTTTTGCATTTCTATGTAGTATGTTATGTAACATTATTTGGAAGTGTTATGTGGAAATGTGAATGTAAGTGCTTTATGCGAGCAAAAACACCAAAATTACGAAAGTTGAAAGGCAAGGTTGTTTTTTCTTGATTTTCATTCATTTTTGTTTTGATTTGAAGGACTACTTTTGATATATTTATAAGTTATACCTGTTGAGTTAGCAGCTCTAAACTCATATATGTATACGCCACTAATCAACGTTTGAAAGTATTTTTTAATGCATACTGGTGGCTCTTTTGGGGATTCTATAAAAAAATTGAAATTAGAGAACAGCATTTAAATGATGAAAACAAATTTACCTGATTTATTGAATCAATATTTTTCCGACAATATTTACGAACGGCTTCGACTGCGCGAGATGCTACGTCCTGGCGCACCATTACGACTTTGGCTACGACTCAAAGATTTACGACCAACTGGACTTCGTGAAAATTTACTGCGTCGTACTGGTGATCGACTACCTGCAGAACGTGACCTTGATCTAGGCGAATACGAGCGACGACGTGGACTGCGAGAGCGCCTACGTACAGGTGAACGAGAACGTCGTCTACCTCCACCACCGCCACGTCTGTTATTAGTTCGTCGTGTTGGTGAAGTTGGACGACCATAACGAGCCATCTGTACGCGTAGCTCCCTGCCGTCTAACATACGACCATCCATAGCCTCTAGTGCGTCCTCTGCATCGCGTTTATCATAAAACCTAAAATTTAAACAAAAAAAAAAAATGTTTTTTTATCCCAATAGACAGGGTTATCTGATAAATAATTTTCTAAAACTATATTGTTGAATTCGTACGTAAACTGACTAGGATATATTCGTAGACAGTAGTTGCAAAGTGAATACATTTTATATATGCCTTTCGTTTAAAGATTACCCTATTGAATCATACGATTATCTTTACAAAAACCAAAGGCAGTAACATTTATTTAAAAAAGAGGTCGGTGAAACTATATGCATAACTTTTGGTCGCAAACTTTTGTTTTTATCTCCCCTCAAACATTTATTTATCAGTTTGTAAATTTCGTACGTAAGTTGACTAGGACACATTCGTAGACAACAGTTGCAAAGTGAAAGTTTTACTATTTGCACAACAACAAAGCACGCTTTCAATAGAGATATAAAAAACGGCATAAAATGTCGAGTGCAGACTAAACAATTGAGGTTAGGACTGAACCACGAGGACCTATTTATACAGCCTTTTAAAGCGGTATAATCTAAAGCTAAACACGATTTACACATATTGAGAGTAAAGCTTACCTAACAAATGCAAAACCACGGCTTTCACGGGTATATCGATCGCGGGGTATGTAGATGTCACCAACCTCGCCGCATCTTTCAAATACACGTCTCAAATCTTCAGGTGTAGTGCGATATGTTAAATTATCCACCTATGAAATTTGGAAAAGAAAAAAAACATTTTATAAAATTTCAAGACATGATTTCATTTTAACATTTACAAATATTCAATACATTACAGACCGGAAATTATGTGGTATACTTTTCATTTTGATATTTACACTCACTCACCTTAAGGGATATCATGCCATCAATTCTCGGCGGAGGCCTTGCAGAATTATTTCCACCTCCACTCATTTTTGTCTTTTAGTTAAGATAGAAATATATTTATCCCAAATATGTAGGAAATTATATCAACTCTTTAAAATCTATACACGACACTTGAAAGAACAAATATAAAATGGCGTCGTGAAAATGCTACGAATGCATGTCCGTTCCAAAAATTTGACGATAGAATTTGACGAACTTGGGAGACACCTGCCGTCAGTTTAGAGTAGATGCCACTCTTTTCTTCCATTTGTTATCAAAGAAAATGTATGCAAGGAACGTATATGAATAAGAAGCGGCATGACGGTCTTGTAAATTGGCTTTTTCAGGAGCGTGAATTGAAGGACCAATCTCAGGGTTTCGCGTCCTCTTCACACCATTCGTAGTTCGGAGGGGGTATTTACGATCTCTGTACAAAAGGTGTGCAGAGGACGCGAAACCCTGAGATTGGACCTTCAATTTGAAAAAGCCAATTAACGAGACCGTCATGCCGCTTCTTATTCATATATGTTCTTTGATTTCTCCTTCTATTCATATTGGTCGACGAAAAGTGATGTAAAGAGAACACGAAACCATGAAAAGGACTCTACCGCATTTGCACAAAGACCGTATAAGTATTTTCGCTTCTTATTCATATACGTTCTTGGCGAAGTCCTGAAAACGACTCTACCGCATTTGCACAAAAACCCTACGAGTCTTGTCGCTTCTTATTCATATACGTTCTTTGCGATTACACCATCCATCACTTTCCAATACTTTTCATCACCCTGTAAATTCGTAACCATCCTGTTTTCAAAAAGTTGTTACATCCTTCAGGTGAATTTTTCATATATGCGTGGCCATTTTAACTGATTTCGTGTTACCGCAGAGGTTTGTGATTTTTACATCCCTAAATTGTAATGCGAGTAATTCACAAAAATCGTTGGCACAATATTTATTAGATTCTATTTCACTTCACCTTGTTTTAATTAATGTTTTCGAAAAGTTTGTCATATAAAAAAGCATTAAACTAGAGAACGTTTGCCGAAGTGACGAATTAAAACGTGATTTGTTGAGGTGAAAGAAGTGAACGCGAAGAAATAGTGGAACGCTGGGAAAGAGTAACCAGACCTCGAGGAGAGCAAATAAGTTAATAATCATAGTGAACAAACAAAGGAAAGAAAGAAAACGTGTACGGGTACGAGTTTCTTGTGCGTGTATTTGCATTAAACATCGTGATAAACGTGGTGGAGGCGATAGGTTTTCAGTAACAAAATAAAAGAAATATCCCTGTCGTCGTCATCGAACGAAATTTATATATACTTACGTGGACTCATCAATTGCAGACTTGTGAGATAAGGAACGAAAATACAGTTAAAAACATGGCTCAGGATAATACGGAGATGGCAACCAAATTTTCTACACTTAATGTAAACGCTGTTGAATTTGTGCCTAGCTATGGCTACAGTAGCGTTGCTGCTAGTGCGGCTGCAGCGGCGGCAGCTGCTGTAACAACAGCAGGTTCCACACCGAATGTTGTCCCAATGGATGCTTCATCTCTGCCGGCGTCAGGTAGTGCAACACCCGCCACAACCCCAGATTCTGCAGGCTCTGGTGGATCTACAAATGCACTAAACGCAACTGCCGCAGCCGCTGCTTTAGCAGCGGTACCGCCCGGTGTAGCAGGCGAAACTCCAGCTGATTCACCAATGCAAACATCGCCAGTGACAACGCCATCAACGGCAGCGCCTATTGAAAATATAAACACCGCTGATAAAATTGCTGCTAACAATGGTAAAGTACTACATCGGCTTTGCATACATGAATACTTAATACTTAACATTTGTACACTTCTGAGCTTATACTATTTTTGCTAATTAAAATTACGTGAAAAACGTTATTTCAGTAAATCCCCTATAAAACGTATCTGCTCAATTCTCTTGCCAATACTAAGCATTCGAAAGTATTCGGCTACGATGCAGAAATTCAGTCTCACTTTTTCATGGCAGTGATTCTTTTTATCTCCATGAACGTACCAGTTGCCAGCAGTTTTTGCCACAACCAACTCGCTTATTTTTATTTTGTTTTCTGTTTTGTCATAGCAGCCTTAACGAAAGTTGAATCAATTTGCTGGCATATTTTCCTTACTAAAACATAACCTCTCAAAAATCCAACGAATTTCATACATAGTGCAGAGTTGTTTAAACGTTTTTTGCAATATTATTAATAGTGCATTGCACTGCAGTGTGTAAAAAAATTTCTCCATCTATTTATAATATTAAACACAAAATTGTAGTTTGTCTTTCTTTCACTTGCTCGATTTTATAAGAGTTAATTTCTCTCCCAACTGCCGTGGACTCTTTCTTTCATAATTTTGCGATAAAATTCTCTATTTTCTATTTTCGACGTGTTAACTTTTAGCTACTTGCCCAAGTCAGTATGCACAATTTATTCAAGTCAGATAGTACTCTCTATGAAAGAGGCACTTTATCCTTTTACAAATGTTTATCCTTTAATTTAATAAATTTTCGAAATTTTAAAGTTACATTGAAACTTCCAAATTTTTTTTTACATATTGTCCGATATATACAATTATATACCGCTCTTTAACTTCTTTTCTTACCAAATTCGCGACACTGCTCTTTTTAGTTTCAACTGCTTCTAACCTGTTAATGCTGGTTGGCTAGGTGTTAGCAACTCGAAGTTGCGAGCGAGTGTTAGTCAGCGGACAGTTGCATGTGGCCCACAACCACATAAAAATTTCTATACAATTTAGTTCAAGGAAATCTGTTACAGATTTTATTTAATTTTTAATTTTCATATATGAAAATATTTATTTGTTATACGTAATAATAGTTAACAAACAATTATAAAAAAATGCCTCGTATGGTAAGAAAAAGTAAGTTTAGCATGAATTCATATTTAATACATTATTTCAATACTTATACATCTTACATCTTAACACGTGGATTTGTAAAATATATATATATACACGTATATATATGTGTGCATGTTTATGTTTATGTTTCTATATAAAAATATTTTCATTTGCTTAGAAAATGATCCAGCCGATAGTTGGGACGTTGAGGATGATCCTGTCATAACACCCGATGATGAGGAACCTGACGAAGCTATAGAGGATGTCGATAGTGACATAGCACCCAAGGTCTCAAAGAAGAAAACACCCAAGGTTGAAGAGTCTCGTAGTAAAAAAGAGCACGTTAATGTTGTCTTCATAGGGCATGTTGGTATGTGTTGTGGCTATTTGAAGTAGTACACTTTCTGTAACCTCTTTTTTTGTGTGTTACAGATGCTGGTAAATCAACAATTGGTGGCCAGATAATGTACCTAACGGGTATGGTCGACAAGCGTACACTTGAAAAATATGAACGTGAAGCACGTGAAAAATCTCGCGAAAGCTGGTATCTTTCGTGGGCGTTGGATACCAATCAGGAAGAACGTGACAAGGGTAAAACTGTAGAGGTGGGCAGAGCATTCTTTGAGACCGAACGTAAACATTTCACCATATTAGATGCACCTGGCCATAAGAGTTTTGTGCCCAATATGATTGGTGGGGCCGCTCAAGCTGATTTGGCTGTTTTGGTAATATCGGCACGAAAAGGTGAATTCGAAACTGGTTTTGATCGTGGTGGACAGACGCGTGAACACGCTATGTTGGCAAAGACAGCTGGCGTTAAACATTTGGTTGTTTTGGTTAATAAAATGGACGATCCAACTGTTAATTGGGATGAAGGACGTTACAACGAATGTAGGGATAAAATTTTACCATACCTCAAAAAATTGGGTTTCAACCCTTCAAAGGATTTGACCTTTATGCCTTGTTCTGGTTTGGGCGGAGCCGGTTTACGTGATCCTGTACCAGCCGATATTTGTCCATGGTACAGAGGGTCGGCGTTCATACCGTTCATTGATCAGTTGCCTTCGCTAAATCGTAATGCCGAAGGTCCATTCATAATGCCTATTGTTGACAAATATAAAGACATGGGTACAGTGGTAATGGGAAAAGTGGAATCAGGAACAGCGCGAAAAGGTCAAAATTTACTGGTTATGCCAAACCGGGTAAGTTGAGTTTTTTTGCGTTAGCAGTTATAATTTTTTTTTTATCTGTAAATACGTATTTGATTGCGTTTTTGTTTTGCAGACACAAGTTTCAGTAGATCAACTATTCTCCGATGACGATGAAGTGAACACTGTGGGTCCTGGCGAGAACATCAAAGTTAAGCTGAAGGTGAGTCCCAAACTATATATCATCATTGTTTCATGCTCATTAATATATCATTCATTAAACTTTATTGTGCGCTGCAGGGCATTGAAGAGGAAGATGTGTCACCCGGTTTTGTTTTATGCGACGCCACCAACCCTATTAAAACTGGCAAAGTTTTTGATGCGCAAGTTGTTATCTTGGAACACAAATCCATTATTTGCGCTGGCTACTCAGCGGTTATGCACATTCACTGTGCGGCTGAAGAGATAACGGTGAAAGTAAGTCTAATTATCATATATACTGTTTCTACAAAGTGTAAAAAATTATTAATTACCCTTTTCAGGCCTTAATTTGTTTGGTTGACAAAAAGACAGGAGAAAAATCAAAAACACGTCCAAGATTTGTTAAACAAGATCAAGTGGCAATTATGCGTATTGAATGTTCCGGAATGATATGCCTTGAACAATTTAAACTATTCCCACAAATGGGTAGATTTACACTTCGTGACGAAAGTAAGTATACTATATATAGAGAATGTGTGTGAATGAACACTTAACAATATTTATACTATAATTTCAGATAAAACTATTGCTATTGGCAAGGTGTTAAAGGTGATCGAATAAATTAATGCACAGCAAAATTCAACTAAACGCCTTGTTTCTAAATAAGAAGCAAAATACAAGCTAAACAAATATGATCGGATTCGTTAAACATAAATCATTAACGCCATTTCACATTAAACTGAATATGAAACTGAAGTGAATCGTAATTAATTGGTGAAACAAAAGGAGAAGAACGCAAACACACTTAAATATAACATTATAAAACGAACGAAAACAAAAAAAACTGAAAAAAGTAAACTTATAAATATATAATTATATTATTGCTATAATTAAATATGAGAAAACTTATATACAATTATTGATTTTATTATTTCGGTTGAAGTTGAAACAAATTCCGATAAGCCGTAAATGATAATTAACACATGCAAATAAATATTTAAATAACTGCTGCTAAAAGTAAGCATTAAGTAATTTTGAATTGATTTTTTTTTATATATACATATAAAAATCGATAGCATTTTAAGATCGAGATATTGAAATATAAAAAAAAAACAATAAATAAAAATTAAATACAATTTAGCGCAGTTCCCTTCAGTAAAAATTAATTACCCAAGCTTACATAATATGTATTGCAGATCACTAATCGAAATGTAGAACATACATAAATACAAACACATTTTACACAATAAATCAAGCTCGTACATACATATATCACAGCAAAAAAATATACTATTTTAGCAATATGAAAACCATAAAAAAAAAAAAATTTTTGGCTGCCGACTGTAAAACAATTATCCGAATTATCACTAGTTACAGACTGATCGACGACGTCTTTTTATTTAACTTTGTGTTGAATGTGTAATCAATACTCTTGCATAAATACATACATACGTATACACACAAAGTTACCTAACTCTAAAATAAATGCTGAAAGGGATTTTCTACATAAAATGTTGCCTCGTTATTTCAACTAATTAACTATGTTAGTAGGTTTACAAAAATACATATACATATACATATGTTTATTTATTAATAATACAAGAAATCGTTAATTTTCGTTTTACCATCTCGATAATTTATCGGCAGCATGTGCGTCAAATTTTCGTTTTTTTTTATATGCTTTCAAGTCAGTTTCTCAAACAATATACGACTATATATATATTCATACATATGTAGTTAAGAATAATTAAAAAATTCAAATTCACTATAATCAACTATTTTCGTTATTTAGCAAAGAGGCTTTGACATTACACTGAATTGGTAGTAATTTATTTAATTTTGAGCGGTAATGATTGCAACGAATTTTTTGTTTATTTATAAATGCAATTTTTATTTTAAAGTTTTTTGCATACCTTCTTTTTTAACTGTGTTGAACTGCTGACAAATAATTTTTATTAACGTTTTTCTATTTTATTGGATTTAGAAACATAGTCAATGAAACGAAAAGCAATTCAGCTAAAGAACACTAAAGCAAAATAGAATCAGGAGAAATGTATCTCTATGCACTAGCTAAGTAAATGCTTATGGCGATAACACAAATTTCTTTCTGTTTTTTTTTTTTTTTTTGCAATTTAGCTTTAAGCTACAAATGGGCTTCTACTGAAATTTTAGCTTTGAATCATATGTTTTTAAATGAAAAAAATTATTTGATTTACATATTTATTTTTTTCATAAAAGTTTTATTTTACTCTATACATACATATTTATTATTATATGTAAGAATTTCGACAAGATTTAAAAAAAATAAAAATTAAACAATTACATTATTAATCAATGGAAAAATGACATGAATTGCTTTAAACATTGTAAACGTGTAAACTCAAACGAAAAAAACACATACACATTTTCCTCTTATTTAATGGAAAAGAATTTATTATAAAAACATAAATGAACACCAATAATAAAGCTAAAAGAGAAGAAAGACAAAAACGCATAATAAATGTCGGTAAAATGTCAATAAAGCGTAAAAATGCTAAAATAAAATAAAAACATTTCCACTTTAAAATTGGGTAGGTCACTGCTAGGTTTGGGTATGTTTATCATTCAGAAATTTTACATTGGGTTTAAAGGGTTTATTCTTTTTAAGTTGAATGCCTTTTTCAATCATCTTTATTTATAATTTCTATTTAACTTAAAAATATTATGTAGTACTGAGTGACTGTTCATATTGGCATGACTTTCACAAAGCAAAGCAGAAACGATCTCCAATTGATGATCATAAATAAAAGAAAATAAAATTCAAACGCATATTCGGAATACTAAACTAAGACATGAACTTTAACACTGTCGTGGTTAGGCGTGGCTCCTTTCAAGCTAACTAATTTTGGCTAAGACGCGCCTGGCGGTTTACAATTTTAATTACAGCTTTATTCATTCTTTCTTTAGTGGCCATTTTCTGATAAAGGTAAGTAAATCAAAAATTTGAAATCAAATCAAAATAGTACATTGTCTTAAAATAAGATACGCTCCCGAAGGACTAACTTATTTGTTGTCTCTCCAGAGTTGGGCTAGCGAAGCTTAGTCATCGCCTTGCTTTGTCTGCTGCCATTATAATAGAAAAAAGTTGTTATAATAATTCGAAAGACCTCTTGAATGCACGGCTGGATTGTGATGGTCTAATATTACCTGTTGACCTAAGCGGGGTTAGATTAGTCTTTGGTCGTATAGAATCCAAGTCAACGCTGGTGATCGTGAGAGTTGCATTAAAATTCGGAGTACAAACAATCCAAGGTTACTGAGAGTCAAATTCGACAGCCTACACTTCTTCACTCGCCATACGATCGCAATTGCAAAAAAAAACTCCAGAGCCGCAATAAAATCCGCAAAGTGCTAGCATGCAGCAACTGAGGAAAAGATTAAGTAATTTTGCTGTCAACGTACAAAACACTTGGCCGGCCTGTCGTAATTACGCTGCAGTTGATGCCGGCCAAAACATTGCTCTCGGGATCGCGACAAGAAGCTTTCTGATGTCTCCTGAGAATCACTTGCACAGCGAAGTTAAGAAGGTTTGCTGTGCTATCAATTTCTGCTGGGCTGCTACCATAGGGAGCACCCCAACAGACATCTAATAGAGGTTAAAGCTCCATCCAGGCACATCAGTAAGGGAGTAGTAGACTTTAAGGACTTAAATAAGCAACATGTATTACAACCGCTGGACAGAACGAGAGGTACAGAGAGGTGCTAAACGCCATTCACCAAGAGTCAGTCAGCACCTTTAAGATCTCTCTCCCTGTCTAGAGGGTCCCGCCTATAACGGACACTACTTAAGTCTGGATATTGTAGCAGGACTCGACCTGGACATATCTAACGTATGCCCAGCAAGTAATAAGTCCCCGCACGACACTAATCATTTTTTTACATGCCCCCGAAAACCAAAACATCTAACCATTCTTTTCCTTTAGTCCGACACCGTCGAAACAAACTCGTTTCCTGGACTCGTTTTCTCGTTAGATGACCTCGGTGACTTGGCTTAATTAGCCTGTTCGCATGAAAATTCACCAATCTAACACTTTTCCTTCTCTGGTCCGTACTCGTCCAAACAGATCGTTTCTACCGCCTCGACCGCTCTTACGCGTAGTTGAGCAAGCAGCTACAACAACTGCGTTAGTCTAACTACTAACTATTGACTTAAAGAAAGCATTTCTTCTTTTTATCTTCAAAATAGACCGAAACTACTTCAGAAATATAACGGTCATACATTTTTTAACGATTAGCTGATTTTTCATTTTTGGAAGCAGATAATCACTCGGAAAGTGTTTGTATCGGACACTTTAACCATTTCTGGGAGTTGTTTCTTCCAGAGGTCCCTTTTTGTACTACAAATGTTTCTCCCAGTCAAGAGTCGCTGTAAACCAATAATGTCAAATTCATGTCGTATATTCACTATTATCGGTAGCTTTGCTCTAGGAGCCTATTTGCATCTCATTTTTCGCTTTAGCTCCAGTTTTGTTATTACAAAATTTTCTACATCTCTAAGGCGGCTACACGTTACGACTCAACAAGCGCACCATTAGTTTTGATTTCTCGAGGCAATATAAGTTAGGGAGGCGAATGGGTATGGTAGTGAGCGAGGAGACGACAAAATATCTCTTGTCATCAAGCAAAGCGTCAGCGCACTCGTGTATTGGGTGTCATTAAACAGGTACGTTGTTCTAAGTCCAGGCACTTATGCCCACATAAGTGTCACCCAATGTTCCCTACACTTAAATAAAATATATATAGAAAGAAAATAAATAGTTTTAAGATTTTGAAAATTATGTACATTTATTATTAAAAAACAAATCTTAAACTTATATAAGGTAAAATTATTTTGTGTATTATTTCTAATAGGTAATAAAAATAATAAATCTGCTTTTAGAAAAAATACATACATATGTACATACATATGTGAAATATGTTTCGAAATAATCACATAATTTATTACATGGTAAGAGGAAGCATATTTTTTACATTACAAATTCGATATTGTACAATTTTGGTCGATTGAATAATATCATTTATGCAGGTCCGTAATACACGTATGAGCTGCTTTCGATCTTCGACTGTGATCAAAAGTGCCGTTAGAACGATTGTTCATTGGTAATCGACGCGCTTTCGATGAAAAAGAATATTCTAGTGAATTTCGCGCCTGTGAAATGTTCACAGTGATATGATTTTGTCAGTTGATTGGGTTCGTTTCCGAGTTAAGTGTATTAAAATAAAAGAAAAATAATAGTACTGAGTGAAAAATGAAATCAGATATGGTTTCAAACAAATTTATACAAATATGATACTCTTTAAAAAGAAAAATAGTTACATTAAAATATATTTCTTGAAAATTAGTGGTACAACTGTTCACTTTAAGGCACTTAGATTAGTCCTGTCCATTACCAATTTTTACTGAACCGCTTTCGGTTGAGGTTGACAATTTCTTACTAACATTTCTTTCCGAACAGAGCTGTTGTAAACTCTTCGCATTTTATTGCCGTCTGAACCTTTGAATAAAACTCTATGGTAAACTGAGGACTTTCGTCATCAATTAACACAGCTTTTCATCGCACTTCGTCAAACCATTGAAGGCGTAATTCGGTTCGAAAGAAAACGAAATTCGTTCATCGCTTTTTGACAGCCTGTGAAGATCGAAAATCGAGTGCAGCTCATAATAAGTGCCACTTACATCTATTAATCTATTAATTGAAAAAAAAAAAAAACATCCTGATACATAACCCAAACAGGAGCAAGCGTTCAGCTGAACATCACTTCAGCCGCTACGAAACCCCAATTATATATAGTTATGTATATAGTACGTACTTCTACCCAGACAGCAAATGAGTCCCACAAGATTACTTAACCGAAATAAAATTTAATATTAATGTATGTACGTATGTACAATAATCATTATGAATTATGTGCCAAAAGAGGAGTTATTGGTTTATCCTTACGACGTCGTTCCTCCAGTTGTTGGGTCTCCTTATCACCATACAGATCAAGATGTCTGCCATGATACCAAACTAAAATATCGAAGACTACACCTATAGATGTTAGTGCTGTAGGGGAAAGAAATACATAGGTGTATGTATAGAAGAGATTATGAAAACAACAAGAGATTAGGTTTCGCTTACATAAAGCCAATATATTGACATAATATCTGAATTTCGTCTGATCATACAGCTGACAATTCCCCCTGCCATTACAAGTTTCCGTCCACACAAGACAAGTTGAATCGATGATGCGTCCGAAAATGATAGGACCGGGTATGAGAGCAAATAAACTGACCATCATCAATGAAAGACCCTGTGCGAATGATTTATCTTTCGCTGAAACGGCGCGATAGTTTACCAAAAGATTACCAATACGGCCGGAGGATCCAAACCAATTTACGATCATCGATGCTATGGTGAAACTATAGAAAGCTATAGCACAACCTTTCAGACATACACCTGGTGTGAGTACTTCAGAGAGCGAGTCCACCGAACGGGCTGTGCGTGTGAGGAGTTCATCAGTTGTTACTGTTGCTGTTGTTGTTGTTGTTGTTGTTGTTGTGGAATTACTTAGGTTTAGTACTGGTTTCGGCCTGACATTAAATACTTCTTGGCTATTTTGTTGTTGCTCAGCTTGTGATTCCACCTTCAGCGTCGTCGGTAACTGAGTTGATGTTTGTGGAATGGGCCTTTCAGTGTTTTGCATTACCATCGGTACTGAGTCTGGTCGAGAATTTATATTTATGATCTTTTGGGTTTCTTCTTCTTGTTTTTGAGTTTTAACGGTGCTAAGAAAGCTGGGCGTTGAGGGTGTGAAAGTAGTTGTAGAAGTAAAGTCGGACGTCGCAATGCAGGTACAATTCGAAAATGTCTAGAACCAGAAGGATATTAAAAGAGGTTCAAAATATATTTGACTTTCATTCGATCGAAAATTGAACACTCAATTTACCTTCGAATTCGGATCCCAAGCTCTACAGCCTGCATGGCACGCTGAGAAAAATGTTGTATCACTGCCCTCGTGGCAGACTGGCGAGTATGCTACATTTGTACAGCTACAATTGTTGTTGCATTGGGTATTGAAGTTATCACTAAAAGCCATAAAAATACAGAAACATAGTTTTTGGTAAAAAAAAATTGTTTAAAAAGTGCGCGCACTTACATTTCACCATTTTGCAGGGATATCGAATCACCACAGTACATAAAGATATATGATGTCTGCCCCAAAATGTACACACAACCAACAATAACGTTCCACATCAACACCTTGCTAGGCGAGGGCCGCTTTTTTGATATTACCACACCCGAACCAATCAAACCAATTACCATACCAATTATAGAGATCGGTCCCACTACAACGGTGGCCGTTTGTGCAGTCTTATGAAATTGTACTTCCATGTACTTCGATAAGAATGTCATATAACCAGCAGCGCCCAGTATATAGAATATACCGGATATGATATTATAAATTAGTAATTTATTACGTAGCAGACGCATCAAGGCCTTGGGAAAATCTATAGTGCGTATGAAGAAGAAAGAGTTAAATCGAAACCTTCATAGGGAAATTAAAAAGAAACACACCTTTCAATTTCGGAAAATCAGTATCAACTGGCGCTGCTGCATTCGCATCCAAAGCTGCATTGAGTGAGAGTGTACTGCCCAACGGTATGCCATCGTCCTTTTTCAACTCCTCCAAACGCATCATACGTGGTAGGTGTGAGTTATAGTGCTCTGGTTTCTTTTTGGGTAACTGCTTTGGGAACAGACCGATGAGTCCAGAGAAAAGCACCATCAACGTGCCCAGTATCATCCAACCAAACCACCAAGCGCCCAACCAACGTGGATCTTTGTTATCAATAAGTGGCTGTTTTGAGGGATCGATGTACATGTTGAGCGAGACGTAGCCTGCAATGGAGGAAAATGAGTAAAATTAGGACGATGAAAATTTCAGAAAAATAGTCTACGAGTATATAAAAATTAATATGTATTGCTAATCCACTCTATGGTCATTTTTAGATTAAGTCAAGATAAAAGCTGCTTGACGAGAGACAATTACAAAAGCAAAGCTTAAAAGCTAATAACTGTCCTAAAGCTCATTAAAAACGCAAAATTCCAATATATGATAACACGATGACGACCTCATGACATATAAAATATATAATTGGGGATTTGTAACCACTGAACCGATTTTCGTCCGAGCTCCTCCTCCAATTTCTCGCTTTCGTCTTGATGTTTTTCCAACAAATGGAGGGGCCTGCAGTTTATACTAAGCCGCCTCCGAGCGGCTGATATTTTTTTTTTGAGAAGCTTTTATTTCATGTTTGGAGGGTTGACATTCCCTGCCGAGGGGATGAGTTTTGGATGTTGGTTTCACCAGGATTTGAACTCTGCGTTTCCGAATTGAAAATAATGGTATGTCACCGCTCCATGAGTTCTGCCTTCTGCATACTGGGTAAGGAAGGAAGCGAATGAGCCAGGTAATGAACGAGTACGAAACGTACTATCATCGAACAAACAATCATTGATTCGCGACTCGGCTTACATGTTATTATTGACGGTCATAACTTTGAACTCGTAGATAGTTTCGTCTATCTTGAAACCAGCATTGACACCAATTACAATGATTTTACAGTCTTGAAACGCAAAGCAGAATCACTCTTGGCAACAGAAGGACTGCGTAGGCGGCTAAAAAGTAATGTGCTCGCTCGACGAACAAAGACCAAACTCCACACGTTGCTTATCATTCCTGTCATATTATATGTTGCGGAGGCAGGGACAGTGCCAATATTTGCTTAGTCAGCGTAGTTTTCGAGAGAAAAAAATTAGGTACGAAAAGTTCCGCAGCCGATGAAAAGGTGAGCTGTACGAGTTAAGGGGCAATATTGGCAAGGAAATTAAGAGACAGCAACTGCCCAGACTTGGTAATATGGGCTGGATGGATAAAAATACTCAAGCACATAATGCAAAACTTCCATTCCGTTGGAAGTAATAGATGGAGAAGGAGCTAACTGTCCAATTGGCGCCCAACAGCAAAAAAGACGGAATGACTGGCGCTCTAGTCGTGTATGCGGTGTCTACGCAAGTAAAAACTAAGATTAGTAGAGCAGTAGTACCTACAGATTTTTAAGATACAGAATACGATGATGAATGTCTTTGGTTTTTTACTCAGGCCGAATAGCTCAGCAGCTCGAATGGTCATTAATATGGTAGTCACTAACCTATAGTGAACACAATTCACTTATTGAAGGGTAGGAATAGAAAATTACCTTAGAGTGTACGCTGAAAGCCCAGCCGAGTAATTATCTTTGGAACTGCGTTACGACCAAGCAAAGCTCGCGCAGATTTGTTAGAAGATGAACGGAATATCAAGCCCTCGTAGTGTATTTCTGACATGAAATAAAAACCCAACATAAAAATATATCGGCCTTACGGAGGCGGCTTAAATTAAACAGTAGGCCTCCCCATTTTCCAAATTCATTAGATGGATTGCGACCTGTATCCCAGGTGAACCATAATCTATTTAGTACGGTGGACAGGAATCCTTAATTTTCTGTGTAACCTAAAAATGAACTTCTACATCACTCTTCGAACGGGGAGAATTACCGTTATCAAAAGATAACTCCTTCTGCAGGTTCTGGTCGATCTTGGAAGCGATAACCTGTTTTATTGGTAAACCATCTGTCGACAACAACATATTTCGGTTTTCTATTTGAATTGGAAGAAAAGTGCAGCCGAAGCTCAAAGAAAGTGATGATTTATAGTGTCGAAGACAAAATGCGTCCTGACCAATACAAAAAGTTTGAAGATGAGGCACTCGCAAAATTACTAGTAGTAGCCCATCAAATAATTTTTGATCCGTTGAAGGAATTTAAATTGATTCAAAAGTAACGAAATTGTGTGTCATTTGAGTTGGGGACCATTATTTTGGGTCTTTTATAGAGATCTAATGATTGGATCAAGGTCAGCGGACTCATTTTGAACAAAAAAAGGGACCAAACCAATTTGCACTCTGAATGTAATCTCTACTTACCCAAAAAGAAACCGATAATTGGTCCGATCATTCTTAGTGCCATAGCAACAGACAACATCAGGGGGGTGTTTGTCTTCTTTGTGTTATCATCCAAATATGTTTGACCCAATGAATAGTAAAGTGTATTGCCAATGCCGAGCACGAATTGTGAGAGGAAAATCAAGATCAACGGTACAATTAATAGTAGGGATTCGCATTCTTGTGTTGAATTCTTTAAGCCACATAATTCTTGTGAATTTTCTAATGAACCGTTCTGAAACAGAAAATAATTTATAAATTAGTAAACAATTGACCAATAGTTACTTACAAGTAAAAATGGCATAACAAGCATATAAATAGTATTCATATCTAAGTATGTATGCATTTGTACGGGTATAATGTGTTTCATAACTAAGGCGTAGGCATTCAATTCAAAGCTTTTATTTTCTTTTATCAAAAAAAAAAAAATATATATAAAATTTTAAATCAGTCAGAAAGAAAATTTTTTTAGTGAGTTTAACTGAATTTGTTGTTAGGGGAATTTTTGTATTTATATTAAAACTTTTACTATTTTTAAAATTTTTAGTGCAAAAAAGAGTATAAAATTTTGATTGAAGAGCTTAAAGTTTCTATGAAATTTTTTTTAATATTAAGTTTTTCAATATGGTTTTGTATCAATAAGGCATAATTTCAAAAAAAAAAAGATATATATACTTATATATATATACATTGGTCTACTAAAAAGGAATATATTATGACTTTACTATATTGATGATAAACGGGTTCTAACGGATTACCCTCAAAATGGCCAAAAATTAACGGTGCATATTTGCCACAAATCAGACAATTCTACTTATGGTAAATAAAGTCTTCAATTTAATGCAAAAATAATGGATTACATTTCCCTATACCAATGGGTTAATATAAATCTTCGCACCACGTTCCTTCTTTATATGTATTCAGTTGTGAAACATAGTATAAAAAATCATATTTTTGAGATAACCGCGCAACTAACTATAATTTGGACAACTTAAATTGAACTCAATTATAGCGCTTTGTAAACATATTTGCAGATGTGTATATACATACGTAAGAATCTACAAAAAGAGCTCAGTCTAAGCTCATACGAGTGTGACGTTCATGCTCACAATTTGTCATAATAATATGATATAGTCATACATATGTACATATTATATAGGTATGTAAATATAAATCTACTAATTCTGTTCACCTACAACCAATGAGTATGAACTTGTAACATTTTCCATTTGCTCTTGTAAATATTCCACAGTGAGATGTAGTGCATCATCACCGGCGCCATATATAAAGTGTGGTAATGCTAGTATATAACAGGATAGACCGCAAAATACAATGCCCCATGCAATCCAACGTGGTCGATTTCGTTGACCTCCAATGTAGCTGAGTATGAGCGAAAGCAGGATTTGTGATATTTCATTGCCGCTCAATATAATACCTAAACCATTTGTCATTAGAGAAAGAGAGAAGAGGAGAATATATATAAAAAAATTTGAATGTGTGTGTGTAAAAAAGTAAAAAAAAGATGAGAAATAGCAATGCTTAAAACGTATTATTATAGTGGGTAGAATGAGTGTTATTTTGTTTTTTTTTTTTGCATATTAATTCTAAAAATATAATAATTAATTAGAGACTAAATAAGAGTAAAATAGTCGAAGCCAAAAGATTTTATGTAAGGCAAGGTAGTTTTTATGTATTTATTTTAATAAAAATTGCGCTTAAAATGTTTTTGGAGAATTTAAATATATATTTTAGCTTTAAAAATCAATGTGCGCACATTGAAATTCAATGTTAACTACGCGCTTGCCTGATTAACTCAATAAAGTTGCTCATACGCCCCGTACTACTTGGTGAATAAGTCTTTTAATGGCTGTTAATTTAACTCAACAAAGCATTTGATTTAGCGAAATATAATTATGTATAAAAACAAATGTTTATAATAGATGTTTGCGTTTTTCAATTTTGAAATCTATATTAAATTTACCTGTTGTTTGACTTGGAATTTTGAAGCGTTTCTCAATAGTTGTTAGTGTAACGACAAAATACATATATGACATCGCTTGTATGGTGCCCAACAAACCATAGACGGCCATAAATGATTTGGTTGTTGCAAAACGTTGCATCCATGCCGGATGCCATTTTGCTAATCCACATAAGTATTCACCTGGACGTTGACGCAATTGCGTTTCCGGCATTTCGGAGGGCTAGGCATGCACTTTTTTATTGCAGTCAATAGAATGAAACTGTAAAAAATATAAAGTTATAAAATGCAAATGAAAGCACTGACAACGTAGACATCTTAGCTAAACAAGAAATTATCTTAAAATAAACCACTTTTATTTACAATTCATTCATTAATACGTTTCTGTTTCTCAGTGAGACAAAGAGAAAATGTACCAAGAGCATACCAATGCGTTCTTTATAGGAAAAAATATGTTTGGTCGTGCCTAACTTGGTTCGCCTACCTTAAAATTTCCCCCCTGAACATCTATGACTGGGAATCCAAATTAGAAACAAATTATCTCTATCCTATGATGGGCAATTATCCAGCACAATTTTCTGAAACAAGTTGTAAGTGATCTAAGAGAATTTAAAATAAAAATCCAAACTAACTCGTTGCCTCAGTCTGAAATCATCGGGGAGCCTGAAAGAGTGCTCAAAAGATGGATCTCTTGAAAAGACAACTCGTCCATCTCTTCCATAATGTTGCGATCCATCAGTTCATATCTCAATCTCTATGGATTGCTCCATTTTTCCTTCTAGGAAAAAACGGTATGTAATGGTTTTCTGGAAAGAGTTGAGCAGTAGCGGTGGACAAATTTTGCTTTAATTCAAAGGCTTATATCAACCACACTTAAAGATGGCGGGTTTATTGTCGATACTTTATACCTCTTAGTGTATGGAGGAAAAGTTTCACCTTATTTGAGTTGAGTTAAAGTCCAAAGGGATTGGAGCGGTTAGATACACTCGGAAGCCCCTTGAAAAAACTGGCGTACCACGATTCTAACTCCTCCATACTCAATTTTTGTATAGCGCAAGTTAACCGTAAGATTCCAGAGCATGAAAAATTGGACGCCACTTTGAGATGTCCCTCTGCTGACGTGACTGGATAGCTGATATCCTCTCAGGCTCGTGGGACAGTTCTATATATAGAGGAAAAACAGATTATGAAAACGTGAGGTTTTAATCACTTTTTCAATGAATGAAGTTAGACTATACAACGCGGTTTCTATTCACTATCCTTTCCGATATGCATGCTGGTCGTTCGAAATCAGCATTTTTTCAATTGTTTGTGAGACGAAAATTGCTATGTACCTGTCTAGTGGTTTAAACAGAAAGTATGATATGTGTTATTTGTGATGTGTAAAGGGCAATCATTTACGATGAACACAAGTGTGGCCTTTGTTTGTCTCTTGGTATTTGAACAGGATCCGTCCGATCAAGGACTGGAATCACGCAGGTTATATATATATTTGTCGCTTTGTAACCGCTGAAGCGATTTTCGGCCCAGCTCCTCCTTCAATTTGTGGTTGGGTGTCGTGATGTTTTTCCAACAAATGGAGAGACCAACAGTTTATACTAAGCCGCCTCCGAATGGCTGATGGTTTTTATGAAGAGCTTAACACTCGGGAGGGTTGGCATTCCTGCCGAAGGGCGATGGCGCAAGTTATGCAGAGAAAATTTAAAAGTCTCCGAGTTCGTATGTCTGGGTTTTATTCTCGGATTTATACGCTTATGAGATAGATCCCCTGTGATGTCTATATATAACTATGATCTGAGGAGTACTATTTTTTAAGTAATTGTAGAAAGCTTTTCAAATTATTTTTAACTTTTGCTGTAATATTTGAAACACCGACTATAAGCTCTCAATATTTCATCCCTGCTCTCATACAATTTTTTGAAAATTTTAACTGATATTACGGTGAGTTTTTATAAAATACGCTTGCCGAAAAGAACAATAAAGTGTTTTTGTTGATTCTCTAGGCAAATTGTTTTACGATGCAATAGTTGAATGAGTCTGCACAAACGGAGGCGGTTAATAAATTAATTTTTATTACCGTTATCGATTTATATATATTTATATATATATATGATTCGCGCTTGTTAACTGCTGAAGCGAGTTACGGCCGGGTTTCTCCTCCAATTTCTGGGCACACCATCATGATGTGTTTTCGAAAAAATACCTTTATTTTAAACCAAACCGCCTCCGAACGGCAGATGGTTTTTTAATGATGAGCTTTTTTTTCATAACAGAAATACACTCGGAGGGGTTGACATTCGCTGTCGAAGGGCGAATGCAATTAGAAAAATTAACTTAATTTGTCCTTTAAATAAAATTTCTATAATTTGTTAGTTGTTGGTTCCCGAGCAGCAGTACGCAATGTTAACTACTCCGGCCATCGCGGCTATTATTTTTATTTACTATTAATAAATGTATTTGAAAATGTTACTCTCCCAAAATAACTATTACAAACAAAGCAACACCTGACATCTTAAGTTTTTTTCCTGTCTGCGGAATGTTCATATTGAAAAACTTATCAGCTGCTAATGAACTTAGTTTACAAATTGAACATAAGAATGTATGTGTGTATGTTTTACAATCACACTCGTATCTGCAAGGTTGTAATACATATGTATTTGTGATAGGCAAGAATTTTATCTGCTTTAGCCTGTCGATGGGCAATATCAATAATTTGCTAATGTTTTTATTTGAATTTTTTTTATATATTCTCAATGATATTGTAATTTTTTATTTGTACATTTTCTACTGAGAGGTAGTTAAGTTAAATGGTGTTGATTAATTTGCTTAGGTGTATAATATAATATTATATAAATAAGGCGAATAGCTTTGTAAATATTGAAAGCCATGAACAAACGTTCGCATTCTTAGTAATGAATTATTAATCACTGATTTTTTTAATAATCGCCAATCTTATTAATCCAATTATTTTATGTACTCAAAAAAAAAAAAAAAATTCACTCGAACTCCTGTTCCAATTTGTGGTTTTACGATTAGATGTTTTCTAGCGAATGTGGGACCTAAAGTTCGATCTGAGCCGCTGATGAGGAGCTTAAATTTCTTTTAGAAATACACTCATAGGGCTTAACTTTCCCGCAAAGCTATTGGCCAAAACAGGACTCGAACTCTGGCCTTTCAAATGGCAGTACGTTGTGCTAACTATTGCGGCAGTAGATTGAATAATTAAAAAGCCCATTTACATCAAAATGCTCCACAAAGTCATTAATCATGGCGCCATAGTGTCATCACAACTTGAAGGAATATGAAGCCATGAAATGTAGATTACCATCACTATAAATGTGAAAATTTTTTATTTATCAACGCACGTATTTAACCGCAAGATTATGGAAAGTTCTATTCAAATTCTAATCAACAACAGCAAAGTGGCACCGTATATAAAATTTTTTCGTACAATATATGGAAGTAAATATATTCAAGGGTTTTTTTAAAGGATATTTTTCCTATCATAACATACAAAGCTATGTTGTTGTGCCACTGCATGGATAGAAAAACCGTCCAATTCGTGATACAATAATTCTCTCTTCGCAGTCGGCTTCATAGCTATCTGACATTAAACGTGTTTCGTGTTTTTCGTGCTACCAAATTCTCTTAAAAAAATCTACCGTTTTTAAATAAGAAGATATGCATAAAAATTACGGGATTTTTTATTTATTTTGCAACCGCTGATAACCTCATCGAGTGCATGTCTTCCATGACTGTTGTGTTACAACTATAGAAAATTGTAAAAGAGTATCAGAAAGGGAAGAGTTTCGCCCACCACGTGTATTCAATATTGTAGCATCTGCTCAGAAGATAACCCCAAAAATAATTAAAAAATCTCCAAGCTGAATATTGTGAGTGGCAAGATCAAACATTTCTGAGGAAATACCTTTTGTGTCAAAAATTTTCAAAATGAAACTACTTTATAGAATTTTTGTATCGTGGTACAATCTTCAAATCAAAAAAAAAAAAATCATTACATATAATATTTCTTCTTCTCTCATTGAAAACGACTTAAATTATATAAAAAAAAACTTTTTTAAAAAAAATTTTAAAATTTGAACTAAGGAATATACGTATACGATATATATTATATATGTTAGTTTATATGTAAAATTATTGAATTATTATTTGAAACAAAAATTATTTTCCACTTCAACCGATTCCAATAATCTTTAGTAATTCAATGCATAAGTCGTCTATCATTTATGACCCACATATAATATTTTCTTATTCATATCACAAAAAATTACGCGATACTTTCGATTGTGCGTTTCTCAAACCATTTTCATATGAAATATTTTCAAATGGAGCACATGCATAAGTACATATATTTCCTTTCCATTATGCGTAAGTTTTCACAATTAATTATTTTACAAGTTAATTTAATTTATTTAATAACACACACATATTATTATTATAAAAAAAACTCTTAAGTACTGCCGGCTGGGCTAATGTCCATCATATAGGAATTTCATTGAGTTAATTTTCATTAAAAAAATATTTCTTTATATATCACTTTCACACCTTTTCTCGATTAATCAGCCAGCCGGTGTCTCGCATATAACTTTGGCAAATAATTTTCGAATCTTTCGTACACGTTCTTCGCCAACGCCATTCACTCATTTACTAACTGATTAAGGCTAATTTCTTTGATTCAACACGTAAAATAACACAGTAGACATACACACATACATGGGCGCTGCAATTCGTGCTCAATACATATTTTATATTTTACATTTATTATCAATTATTTATTGCCTTTTATCGCCATATTTTTAATCTTATCAACAAATTGGGCTTTAACTCATATTTTGGAGAGATCCAGCGAAATTCACAAGAAAACTCGCACACTTGAAAATTAACTTTCATATACATATGTATATATATATATCTTATTTTTTTTTACTGAAATAAATTTTATTCTGTATAGTTTAAGGATAAATATGTAGCATTTCTTTTTGGAAGAAAGTACCTCTTGAAGTTTGCTATTTGTTTTAATCATTTACTATTATTTTATTTTCAGCTACGCTCCATATTATTTTACAACTTTTAGCCGCCACAAAAAAATTAGTAGAAATCTCGCTGATGTCTGCTTGAGGCGCGAAACTACACTGATTTCCACAACTGGACTGCATTCAAATCTGTGCTTCATATGCTATACAAACATACAATTAATCATAATCAATTTAATAATGAGAAGAAGCCTGATTATTACGATGACGAAAAGAATGATGAGCATGAATGGTAGTTAAGTGTGCTTGCATACAATGTCTGTATGTACATGTATCGGGATGAGCGACTGCTTTGTTATCATTTGCACAAATTCAGTCATTTTGCAAGTGAGTTTTTGATATCAGCATTGGCTACGTCACAATTCTCTGCACTCTGCCGACAAAACGGAAGAGAAGAAAGCCGCTGCGTTTATGATTACACCATACACATACATGCATATGTATGTATGTCAAGGTATATCCCAGAAAACATAAAACTATTGCATAGCAATAGCCGATTGGTTAACATGGTTAACATTCGAGTCCAGGTCCGACTTATATCCAAGGTAATTGAGATTTGTCGTTGCGATCATCCCTCAGCAGGAATGTCAAGCCCTACAAAGTTCTGCCGAAAATGGCCTCAGCGGTTACAAAGCGCCAATTATATATACATTGCATATAATACATGTACACCTGCTTGCGCAGGTTGTTTTTTTTTAAGTTTTGTAAAATGCATATCTTTTCTTGCCTTTAAGAATTTAAATGTTGTCAAATGAGTGTGGGTTGTAGTTTAATTAATACAGATGAAGATCTATATCATAAGACCCTGTAGGAAATAGTTAGTTCCATAAAATGTCTGGTTAGCTGACTGCTTTGCTGTAGTAGTCGTTCTTTAGAACTCGGATTTATTGTAGCTTCTTAAAATGTAACCACCTTACGTTCGTTATACATGTTTTTATAAGACAGCATTAATAAAAAAAAATTTCTTTCTCAAAAATAATTTCAAATAACTTAAATAATTTCATATAAATATTTAAAACAGCGAAATATGCGGACTCTCTGGGTACTCTATCCTGGGTTATTTACTGGGAATTGGTACAAATATTATAGCCGAATTAATAACATTGCGCCACTCAATTCTTCTCTTCGTTATTTTGCGCCAATTGGAGTTAGCAAGAACAGCCAGCTCCTTCTCTACCTGGTCTATCTAACAGTTGAGGTCTTCCTCTTCCTCTGCTTCTATCAGCGGTACTTCATCGAAAAGAAAGCTGGAGTATTCTTATCCATTCGGACCTCTTGATCTAGCCAGTGTTGCATCGTCGCTGAACTAGGCGAATGTCGCCGTATATCTCATACAGCTCATCATTCCAGCGGCTGCGGTATTTGTTAATTCTTTGAAGACCATTAATCTTACGCAAAACCGTAATCTCGAAAACTTCTAACGCCGACTCATCAGATGTTGTCATCGCCTGTGCCCCCGCACCACATAGCATGGCGGTAACGTTAAGTCCAAGGTAACAGCTTTTGGCAAGAGTGACTTTGCTTTGGATTTCCAGGCTGACATTCTTGTTGTTGTTAATACTGGTTCCAAGTTAGACGAAGATATCTACGACTTCAAAGTTATGACTGTCAACAGTGACGTGGAAGCCGGGTGGCGAATGGGATGACGATTTGTTTGATGACAGGAGATGTTATATCTTGCACTCCTTCACCATCTGACCCAATCACTTCGCTTCTTTGTCCTGTCTGGAAAAAGCAGAACTCACGACGGGGTTGTTGTGGTCAATAATGTCAATACCATCGGCGTACGTCAACAAAAGATTGTAGCTTCTCTATTTAGGTCTGCAGCTGTTATTATTTTCTTCAGCAATAAATTTAAGAAGTCGCACGATAAGGAATCACCCGGTCAAAACCTCGTTTCATATCGAACGTCTTGGAGAGGTCCTTATCGATCCTGACGAAATCCCGGTACGACCATCATCCAAAAGTTATAGTAAATTAATTTGAATAAAAACATAACTTAAATTTTCTAATTGCAGTCACCCCTGTATTTCTGACACGAAAATCAAAAGCTTTAGGTCTCTCCATTTGTTGGAAAAACATCAAGGCTCAAAACCACAAATTGGAGGAGGAGCTCGGCCGAAAATCGCTTCAGCGGTTACAATGTTGCCAATAATATATATATATATAATAACAGTTTACATAGCCGTATAAGTTTTGAGGCGATACATAGCGACGTAGAGGTAGCTCCTATGCCTGTTGTAGACGGATGCTTAAAATGCGACGAAGAGGTGGCGTGTGTCGATTCTCTTTTTCAAGATTTGGTGCATGGGGAATATCGGGTACACTGATAAGGTCCAATCGTTTAGCTCGTATGCTTGTTAGGATCTTATATGCGATATAAAAGAGGCTTATCCCACGGTAATTAGCGCAAACTGTGGGATCCACTTTTTTATGGATTTGGCAGAGCACACTTAAATTTCAATCGTCGAGCATGCTTTCATTGATTTCTCGAGTCGGGATAAAGAAGCGAAGCGTATGGGTCTGTTAATGAGCCGGGGCAAACCGAAAAATCCCCCGTTATCAAAGAAACAGTCATCGCAATCGCGTCTCGGTACCCAAGTCAGTTTTGATAGTTATAACTTTGGAGTCGTAGATAACTTCGTCTATCTGGAAAGTGTTTTTAACACCGACCACAATGTCTTTAAGTCTGCTCTCAATGAACAAAGAGAGGAGAGCCGACAGCAATTAGAAAAAGAATTTTTTAATAATCAATTCTCTATAATTTTGGATGACAGTCACGTGATCATCTACACGATAGCACGCATTTCAATGCATAAGTAAATAAATGCCATTTAATTTGAAAGCTCTAATGTTAATTACAGTCCATTTACTACGGACATTTTTAATAACATAAAAGAAAGTATTATACACATGTATGATAGTATTGCATAACATTAACTATGGAATTTTTCGCACAAGATATTAATCAGTTACATTAATGTGGAGTCCTGGACCGATTGGATTATCATATTTCGTTGGGGCCTGTACACTCATCAGCATGCCAATGCCAAGAAACAATATACCCAAGAGTATGGCAGTGACAAAAAGACCCGAAATTATGGCGGGCGAAGTGAAACCCTCACAAGTCCAAGCATCCTTAAACATGAAATCACCATGTCTTTCTTGGTCATATTGAATTTGCAATCTTCTTATTGTTAGCATGCCCTTATCCTTGTTGCGGAGTACTATCTTGCCACATGAATACGAGTTGGTTTGTGGTGCATATAAATCGGAAACATAATAGGCTGTATCGTTATAATAAAATGTCCTTATCTCAAAATATCCACTGCTAAGTTGTACATGGAATGACAACGATGTGTCGGTATTATTTGATTTGAGTTCAACGGATAGCATTGGATCCGTGCCGGACACGTTCATATTAAGCAATATTATATCTTCTATGAAATCGGCGCTTTGCATTTGAATTTGTGTGAAATAAAATGAAATTTGGTTATGCTGATAGAGACGGCCGCTTAGTTCAACAACTTCATCCTCTTTTCCCATGAATAAATAGGCAACATCCGGACAATTTGCGGATTCTGTAATTTTTTTCATTGCCTCATCTGTAAGAAAGGGTTCCACAAAATAATCGTTTGTTGGTTGAAATGTTGCATAAAATTCGAAATGTTGTAAAACTAAAATTGTGTTTGTCTGAATATATATGATTTTTACAAATATAATGGGTTTCAGAATCTAGATAGGTGGGAGGAATGGCTTTCATAGGCCTCCCCCACAGATATTAAATTGGACCAAGCTCGCGAGTGTTCATTTACTATTCACTTCCATTCGGTGTTCTTGTTAACTTACCACACCTCTTCATTGGATTGCTGGCTTTACCTAAGGCATCCAATGATATCATATACAATTTCCCCGCACCGCAGGTCAGTGTTGAGTTCAATTTTCCATCGATGTCAACACTTAATTGCGCTTTAGGTTTAAGGCCCAATAAACTTTTGTCGGCTTTCTCAACATTGGCGTAGAATACTGCGGGTGACTGTTGACTTAGGAATGGGAAACACTCTTCGCAACGAAAGCTGCTTAATGATAACTGAAAAAATTACACATATACATACATATGTGTATGTGAGTATGTTATTTAGTTTTGAATTTATAATAGATATTAACTAACTATTTGTAGAATTTAAACTTATAAATAATGTAGTCTAGAGCTTACCTTATCGTATGTAAAGGCAGCAACCATACGCGTTTCCAATAATGGTTTCACTTCTTCAAGAAATTCGTGTTGTCTTACTTGTGGAAACACTGTTTTTTGGTTGCTTTTCGTAAAAGGATGGGAACCTTAATTAACTAAATTGGATAATAAAATAATAAATGTATATAAACTTACACTTGGGCGCGCCATATAAATACAGGCGTACCATGCCCTGTTGATATAAGCGCAAGAAACAAAATTGTAATTATAAAATTTTTCGCCATTTGATATAGTGAAATCTCTAAAAATTAGTAAAATTTCAAAAAACAATATTTGACAGCAAAAACTGAGAAAAAGTTTCCAAAAGCAACTGAAAAAATGATATGGGAGGGAAGGTGAATTTTTACACTTTCTGTTTCTTAAGTTTTTTTTTTAAATTTCAAAAATGAATTTTAATTTTTCATTATTTTTTAATTAGTTCCTAAATATTTGTCATCTCATACTATTATATCACATCACATTATATTACCATCCATAAATTTCCATATTCCAATCCATATAATCCATTAAATAATATCATATATCTGCAAATTATATCATAGTCCTTAAAATCGTATCTTGGTCCGCTAAATCACATCATCTCCTATCAAATCATGCAGCATGATATCACTAGATAATTATATCATCATCTCTTTATTTATTATCACACCACAACCTACCAAGTCTCTCGGGATTATGTCAAATCATTCGTATCAAATTGTACTTGATGGCTCACATCAGTTCCTATCAAATTGTAAGGCATATAGACATAGCGCCTTAGTCCATCAGCTCATATCATTTCTTACCAAATTGCATATTGTCCAACCGCATCATCAACCAGCAAATTGTGTAGCATTTGATCACATAAGAGCCCAAAAAATTACATAATCACTTACCAAATTTCATAGAATCCTACCAAATTGTACAAACTACATCATCAACTATCAGATGATATAGTATCATATCACATCAAAAAAATTATATAGAATTTTAAGAAAAAAATAGTTACCAAAATGCAAGACAACAATCACATCATGCTCCAAATTATTATATCACAACACAGAACATCAAAATTCAGCATTCCAAATCACATAATATCAAACCACATTACACACATTTTGATCTATGAAATTGCATTGTATCACATAGCATCACATCACTTCATAATCCGTCAAATCACATAAGTAAAAATCAAATGACGTAGTATCACATGACATCGTAGTTCATCACGTAGTCAACTATGATATCATATGATATAGAATCACGTCACACCAGCATTGTATATCATCATAACTTAGCAAATCATATAATTAAGAATAAATTGATGTAATATTCAACAATCAGACGATATGGCATCGTAGTTCATCAAATCACAAAATCGCCAATTAGAATTGCATCATATCATACCATATTCCATAAAATCACATCATCACTATCAACTTGTATTACTTTATATCGCCGCATAGTCCATTAACATGTTGGAATCATACTAAACAGTTTTGCAGTGAAATATCGATGAAACATTGCGGGACCGTGGTTCTAAGTTCTCCGCCGTGGGGGAGGTGGTATTGCTTATCAACCACTGATAAACTGCATATACTCGTATGCCTAGAAACTTATCTAAAAAATTGCTTTGTACCGATAAGAAATGAAACCAGAGTGCGTAGAATGACGGCGGATTCCACCTGTAAGAGAGACGTTATATTAGTCATTTGCCTGCTTCGAACAACGATGAAAGTATAAAAATACGCTTAAATGTTTTAATATCGTAAATTCTTATTTTAACAACAAATTTGTAAAACTAAAAATAAGTTGTATTCAATATATAAAAATTTAAATGTTTTTTTGATTTGTTTAAAATGTGCATTTCAAACAAAATTGGAAATTAACGAAATTTAACTGTGTAAATGAATAGAATAGAAAAATCATATTTACCTCATGCTTTATATTACATACGACCAATCGTAGATGCCTTCAAAATGACGGCGGGTACCCGCAGTTCTGACTTATCACAAATAGCCGTGAATGCCAATAATATACCGAATGGTTAGCATTAACTGAAAAAATAAAGTGATGAATAATACGAGTTTTTTTGTATACCGTAATTGTGATACATATACATAAAGTGTAATAAAATTAAGTGTTATCAATTTAATTTTCTTTTCGCAGATAGTGTTGATTGTGGTGTAAAATTATTTGGTTGGTGTAATGGTCCGCAATGCTTGAAATTGGCAAGATTACGCACGTTTGTTTTTGTACTGACCTGTGCAGGTGTAGTGCAGGGTGCTTGCGAAACCTACTTTCGCATTTCAGCAAAAGAAGCCGCTGTGGAAAATGATTATAATCCAATAATTGTCGGTAAGTTTGTGATTTTGTGTGGTTCCAGATTTATTGAGTTTTAGTAGGAAGGAAAGTGAGATAGGTAAAATGTAATCAAAAAATCGAAATTAAATTTTAAATACATATGTTTCTGGTCAATGCAAAAAATGTTTTATGTTAATAACGCGTTCAATCGTAACATATACTAATACCACTTGTTGAACGTCTGGTTATTATAAACCATTACATATTTCAAAAAACTTATTAACAGGCTTTAAGCCTCATATTCGCTTGAAGTCCTTATCATATCTAGTCCGGTTTTTATTATCAATGAATGCAACACAGTCATCGATTTGTTTTACGATAACTTTGCTGAAATTACAAGCATGCCTATACGAGGTGTGTTCAAAAAATATCGCGAATTTTGTGTTTTTTCAAAAATTATTTATTTATTCATGAATTTGTCCCCTTGAAAGTAATCCCCATGAGATATTATACACTTGTGCCAAACGGTTTTTCCAATCTTCGAAACATGTCAAAAACTAATTTTTCTTATCTGTTTAGCTCCTCCTTCGATGTTGTCTTTATCTCGTGAATCGTAGCATAACGTCGTCCTTTCATGGGCCTCTTTAGTTTAGGGAACAAGAAAAAGTCACAGGGGCCAGATCTGGGGAATACGGAGGCTGCGGCATCATTAGTGTGTTGTTTTTGGCCAAAAAGTCGCGTACAAGCAACGATGTGTGAGTAGAGGCGTTATCGTGGTGCAAAAGCAAATTTTTGTTCTTCCACAAATCCAGGTGTTTCTGGCGGATTGCTTCGCGCAAATTGCGCATAACTTGCAGGTAATATTCCTTATTGACCTGTGGCAAGAACTCATGATGCACCGCGCCCCTGCAATTAATTTTTTCGTCTGTTGTTGAAGTGCTCAAGCGTCCGGCACGCTCTTCGTTGTTCACATCTTCTCGGCCCTCTGAGAGCATTTTGTACCACCGATAAACGTTGCTTCGGTCCAAGGTAGGTTCTCCGTATGCCACAGTCAACATTGGGAATGTATCCGCGTACTTAATTTCGTTTTTCACACAAAATTTGATTCATGTTCTTTGGTTCATTTTTTTGAATAGGTAAGAATCGAAGACCATCCAAAACACGTGCAAGCAAAGCAGCTGTCAACAATTAAGTGAACATTCAAAATAGCCGAGCTTGTCGGCGTAAGTGACAGACATGAGTACCAACATAACGCCACAAAAAAATCGAAATTCGGTGATACGTAACCCGCGAAAGTTCAAAATTCGCGATACTTTTTGAGCACACCTCGTATACGATATATGTACGTATGTGTACAAAGTTAAGTATTTATTTATAGAAGAATACTGGCGATGCGTAATCATAATATCTACTTCCGCCACACATATTGAAATTAAATTTTAATTAAATGAAAAGCTGTTCTACATACATATGTATTATTCTACATTATTCTCCTTCTTGATTGGAGTATTCGCCACTAACGCGATTATACAGGACTATCGATTTTGCTTTTCCTTATTTAAACGTAAATAAAATACATTTAAATACGAAATTGCACTAGCCAATTGACATCGTCAAGCCGATAGATTACACGGGTGGGGAAATAACCCTCGGAATAAAGCCATATACGGTCATGTTGAGTGGCGTGTGGCACCATATTGTTCAAACCACATATTGTTCTAGTAGTATTCTTCAATTGTAGGTTAAAGAAAGTCGGTTATCCTGCGAACTTAACGACCCGAATTGATAGTCCCACCGTTGTCATTTTCAAAGAATTAAGATTCACTCACATTTCCGTACTATACAGCCTACCCGACGGAAAGTTTTTTGGCTGTAATGACCCCTTTTTTTTGCCAAGTGAGAAATGTCCTCATCGTCGAAGAAAAATCGCCATCCACCGGAGAATTTGCCTTAAGACCAGAACGTTTCCGGATATCGTTTTTTTCGAATTTCGCGGTTTGATTCATCAAAATTCAAGGATTTTGCATGAAGATAATGAGCCATCGCACCGGGAAGTAGTTGTGAACAATTTTAAGACCAAAAACTCGTTCAGTACCATCGATCAACTATCGTATTCACCATATATGGTCCCATGCGACTTTTTTGTATCCAAAACTCAAGTTACTGTTCCGTGGAACCCGTTTCGACTCGATTGATGCCGTAAAAGAAATTTCGCAGAGGTTACCGAAGGCGATCACGGGAAGCGCTTACGATGTATGTTTCGATGATTGGAAAAAGAGTTTGCATCTGTGTATCGCTTCAGAAGGAGCGTATTTCGATGCCGGCACTGCCGTTGGCTAGATATCTGGTCACAGAGACATCCCATGCAACTGCATGGCGGACGAACTAGCAAGGGAAGGAGCCCTTCTACCCACGATAAAGCACGATGCTGATTTACCTCTGTGCACGGCAAAGCACTTGCTAAAACTGGCTTCTACCAGAGAAGCTGACTCAAGATGGCTGAACGAGATCACGTGTAACGTGACGTGAAAAAATCCAAACATCTTATCCTTCTGGACCGATTCTCCATTGGCACAACGACGGGTATAATAACTTGACACTGTTTGGGCTTCATGGGAAAAGAATGGGATATCATTCTAGTGATTTCTGCCGCAGCTGAAGGTATGAAGAAGAGGAGGAGACCATTGAGCAAAACCTCTGCCAATGTCCAGCCTTGATATCAGCGCGACACAAAATTTCTTGGGAAACATTTCTTCGATTGTCTCGCTGAGATAGCCTCAGCGAATATTGGAAATTTCGTTGCTGAAAAGATGAAGGCGGGAGGCTCTACGGGATCACAAAATGCTTATTAGCCTGAATGTGCTGGTAACAGCAGCCGCATCAACTCAACTTAACTTATGCCGACAAAATACATATTGGTGAAGATAATTTTAATCGTTTATTTACAATTTCCGGAAACTTTTTGATCTTAACAACGATCGATTGAAGTTTGTACAGAGCTTGAAAATCTCGGGGAATGGGTTCTTGTAAGTTTCGTCGATAAACGGATGCATTTAGGTCTTAGGAGAAGCTTGTATTTTATATAAGGGTTGACATTCCTACCGAGAGGCCACAGGACTCGAAATCATGACCTTTCTATTGGTAGTGCGAACTGCTAACCGCTCGTTGATTACTTTCTTTAATTTAATTCGACTAAGAGCCGATATTGCAGCTGTCTCTTAGTCTACTAAGTCCATTTTTAAGACGTTTGTGTCGGCGTGTCATTTATGGTAATCAAAGCCGATCCTCATAATTTTTTGTCTTGTTGATCGCAGGTTGCCATACAGTCACACCATAAAATAGAATATTTCTTTACTGTTGATATATACTTATGTAAAGTCGAGAAGCAGATCTTGAAGCTTAAGCTTCATTACCTCCTGAAGCTTTGAACGCCAATTCAAAATCACTGAATGTAGGGCTAAAGAATATATGTGTCCTGTGGTTCTGTTTGTTCTGCTCTTTTCTCGTCGTTTCCCTAGCAGAACGGATGATAGTTTCAAAGAACGAAGAGACAGAGCTTTTACTTCTCCACGAATACAGCCCAAAGCTTAGTAACAACCGGAGCAGATATCTTATGAAGCTTATTAAGCTCTGTTCTTGAATCTCCTTCAATTTGGGCTGTGCTTGTATCTGGTAATAATGATTTTTCCTGCTAAACATTTTAGATTAATTTTTTCAGTAAATTTTTAAATATCGCATTGGCTTTAGTTCGACGCCAAGGCTTTCTAAGCTTTAATTAGGTGCACAAATATGCTCTACGGTTGCTTCCACCTATGAAAGCATCTATATGTAAGACTTTTATTCAGAATATGACCCTCCAATATTAGTATTTTCTTGTATAATTTCTTTCCATATTTTGAACTTAACATTCTCAAACTTCTCATATTTCAGAATGGCTCCTTGTAAGTAGTGGCATTTTTCAGGCTTTATTCGCCTTAATATTCGCGCATTGGGCTTTTAAAACCCATCCAATAAAATGGTTATCTGGTACCATAATCGTACAATCGCTGATCTGTGTGATAGCCGTCATACCACCCATAATTGGTTTGTGAGTAGAAATTGTCTGCAATCAAGTTTTCGTTTAGTTTCATTCAAATAACCACTTTTCTAAATGTAATTTCAGCTCAGATGGCGCCGTAACACCGATCAGCACAATAACCACGGGTCTTTGCACCATCACATCATACCAGAGAAGCACGCTCACCGTACAACAGACACAGATTAGCACACTTATTCTACTCTTCGTGCTGCAATTCGCGTTGGGTTTTGCCAATTTAGCTTTCTACACCATCGGCACCACATATTTAGATGATAACTCACCGTCCATTGATAGTCCAGCAGTGATAGCCACTGCGTTAGCGGGTCGCATTTTCGGTTTACAAGTCGGTTCATTTGTTGTGATCGGTGTTGGTGCCACCACGTTGGGTTGGTGGTTGGGTTGGATTGTGCTGGCACCATTCGTTTTGGTGAGCGGCATCACATTGGGCCTATTTCCGAAACGTCTGCCCAAAACGGTTATACATCATGCCGCACAGCGTATTATTGAAGAAACGCATACACGCACATTTGGCAGTCAATTCTCCACGTACATTGACGATGTTGGCCTAGGGCCATCACTAAAAAGGATATTTACAAATAAACTGCTAATGTGTAATCTGCTGGGCATAATGTTCATTATGTCGGCTTATGTGAATTTTGAATTGCAAGAGGAGTCTTACTTGCAATCGCGTTTCTTTCTGCCCTACAGTGAAGAGGATGGACTGCTGCAGGAGTGGGAGGCACGCTTTGTTGCTTACTTTTTGCGGCCGCCAGTTGCTGCTGTGGGCATATTGGTGCTGGGTCTGATTATTTCCAAACTGAAATTGTCGGGAAGGTGTGTGAGATATGGTTTTAGAGTTTATTATCGCGCATTAATCTTATTCACTTGCAGAACTATAACTGGCATAAATATCGGCTTCGGTCTCCATTTATTAGCTATTTTCATTGCTAATATTTTCATAAAATGTGAGGTTGGCGATATTGCTGGTGTCACAAATGGCAAAGTGCTGCAGCCCTTTTGTTCCAGACAGTGTACTGGGGCTTGCAATGCGAACACCTTCCAGCCTGTTTGCCCGGAGAACTCGACGGTCACCTATTTTTCCGCCTGTTATGCGGGCTGCTCTCTTACCACAAATATCAATAATGTGCAGGTGGGAAATGAAAGAGAAATGTAAAAAAAAACTTAAATATATAATGCTAATGTATCTTTCTCTCTTCCTCCATAGCTTTATGAAGGCTGCACCTGCGCTTCAAATTCGAATGCCGAGCCACAAGGAAATCTGCGCGCAACCGAAGGCGCCTGTAGTTTCGCGAATTGCCAACGCATGCTGATCGGTTTTCAAGTAATGAGCTTAGTAGCAGCGGCAGTTTTGGGCGCAAGTACTGTAGGAAAAGTGATAATCACATTGCGCAGTGTTCTGCCTCAGGATAAAGCGCTGGCATTGGCCGCGCAGTTAACGCTCTGCGGCTTATTCGCTTACATACCAGTACATATTGGTTATGAAATAATCACAAGTAAGTATTATTTTGGGAGTTCTGTATTACGCTGAAAGGTTGTGAAATACAATTTTTACTTATAATTTGCATTATTTTCCTTACAGCATCTACTTGTCTATATTGGACGCCCGAATACAAACGTTGCCTGCTACGTGAAACACCGAAACAAGGCAACATTTTAAATATTCTCTCAGCGTGCCTCATTTTACTTGGAATTATCTTCGATATACTAGTTTTTATTTTCGCCAAGGGTCTCAATGTATACAATTGCAAGGTAACCGATCCGAATTACTCGCCATCACTCTACTCGCCCATACCACATGATGATCCGCATGCAACAGCAGCAACAGCATCCGTACAACAAGCTGTGGGTGGCAGTCCTGCCACCACAGTTACGAATGCTTCGCCAATGCAACGTCGTGATGCACAATCAATACGATCTGCAGCAAAATCTCAAGGCATCAGCGTTTTTCGTAATCCTAGCACACTCACCGATTCCTCGGTTGGCGAGAATAGCCTGTCAGAGCACAGCAATAATAATAACACTGGCATAACGTATGCACAAGTCATCTTTCCACCGGATAAACACAAACCGGATGACGGCACCACTAGTCCCAAACGTATGGCGGTGCGTGCGGATGTTCCGTTGCATCATTTGTCAGCGCATGATGTACGTGCGCAATTGGGTAATTTGAAATCATTTAATCAGGATAACAAGGAGGATAGTGACGCTATTCAACAATTGGAATCGGAAACTGAGGAAGAGAAGCCGTTAAAAATAGATGTTGCTGCTGCGAATGTGGTCGCTGCGCCTACGCAGGCTATTACACCGAAAACTGGGGTTAAAGTTCTGCCACCCCTCGCGCCGAAACCGAAAAAAGCACCAACAACGCCCGCATCGACGCCTATAGAAACAGATTTGGACAATATTGAACAGTTGCCGGCAAGGTCATTAAGTCCAGAGACGGATTTTTAATTTATATGAAATAATCAACATACATTTTTTAAAAAGATTTCCCAATTTTAGTATTATGTTTATAAATATTTTTTGTAAGAAAATATACGAATAAAAATGTACGAATACGCCCGTAAGATTTACATACAAATTTAAATCGCAGCAAGTATTTCACTGCATTAAAATTTAAGAAAAAAAAAATATTTAAGAAATTTTAGTTGTTGTACAATGAAAGCCGAACGACTATCAAGCGCGTGAATGAGCTCTGAACGAGATGGCCTTTAATCCTGATTTTCAAAAGTGAATTGTGTATATTTTCGCACTTGAAGTGATAATCCAAAGCATTATTGAGACCCCATTGCAACGTAAAAAAGTTACTGTTTGTAGTGGGCAGAGGGAAGCATTAGTCCATAATTCTTCAAAAATTAATAAAATTTTACAATCAGTAATGGACGCTTAGAGCCATGATTAATGACATTTTCGTGCCAGATTTGGATCTTAGGTTTTAATAAGGCACTACATGCCATTTACACAAAGAAACTATCAATTGATTGAAGGAAGCTTCTAGTGATCGCATCATCTCGCTTGGTGCACCATTTTTTATGGGGTTATGTGAAATTACTTATCAGCTCGGCTCGTTATTGCTCACATACGGCCTCAATCGCTGCAATGGGTGGTCAAGAACTGTAAGAATTTATTCGAGTGACTTATCCGAAATCATTTTTAAAACATAATGGCAAAAGTTTATCTTTTTAACAAAGCTAAATGTCTCAAAAAAGACACCCTTTTTGCATTACATATTTGTATACGTACATACATATTTTATATATTTATATTTTTCATCATGCATGTGGAACTCAATGCTCAACCAGAGAACTTATCATTATTATAAGTTCTCTGCTCAATGCATAATATTGAACCTAAAAGTAGGCAACAAAACTCTTTCAATGACATATTTCCGTCATTAGTTGTTCTCATTTCCGGCGCTGCCTGTATGTGAGTGAGTAAGTACAATACGTAACGAATTTCGGTGAAATGACAGTTTCTTGTATGCAATGGACGAAGGGAAAGTGTGCTGGTATATAAAAGTCAACGGCACCAATTTTTGTGATTTTGTAGCAAAATGGGAATGAAATGTGCCACCCACACCGCATAGTAAAAGGCTTGTATTTACTTTAATGTCGCATTGCCTTTTAGACTTTTTTTTATCTTCTTTCATAAAAAATTTCACTGTTGACACAATAAGAGTACATTTATTACACTCTACAATTCTTTATGAAGAAAAAGTTCGACTATGCAAAGCATCTTTTCATTAAGAACTACCTTTTGCAGGTTTTAATCAGTTTAAATTTTTCGATCTACGCGTTTTTTTCTTAAAAACTTTATAATTTTATTCAGGAACATATTTGGTGGGTATTTTTATCCTATTCAGCTGTATCGCCGAACAACTCTGTCAAAACCTCCTCTAACGTGTTCCTTTCAATATTGAGCCCACATTCAGTTTGTGAGGAGAAGAAAATATGTCTTTTTCAAAGTGGGTCTAAGCTTGGCAAGTAGGAGGGAGACGGTGTTTAGGAATATTCAAAGATGATGTTGAGTGATGCCTTTAACTGTATGGATCTTAACGGAGTTCGGGGCTGGGCTAGATATGTGGAGAGGTTACAGGATGACCATTCCTCTTTTACATTCTGAATTTATTGGGTGGAACTCCCGGGTAAGCTACAGGTGAAAATTTGAGAAGGTACGGGGCGACCTTTTGTCCCAGTGGTTGGAGTCTATGAGGGCTGTTTTCAAAATTAGCGGAGCAAGAAAGTGCTTCAAGAGGCTTTGGTAAGCCAAGTTTTGATGTTAAGCGTTTAGGCAAGCAAACGTGCATGCTCTCGAGGGTCTTACTAAGCACACCAAGTCTATAACTTCTTGCGAGAGATATTGAATATATTGTGCTGCTCACCTAAACAAAACAAAGACTCCAAAGTTTTCAAGAAATCAAGTATTTAGTAGATAATATTTGCGACTGAATTTCGTAAAGCATTTTCATTTTTCTGTTACGTAAGAGACAAACATTTTCAAATCGGACAGAAAGGAGTGGGATTTGCGGCCAAAAAAATAAAAACAGATGACGAAATATGTGAGTTGCATAAGCTAACCGACCGAAGTAATGCTCCAAAATTCTATGGAAGAAAAATACTCATGTAGAAGCTATGGAGCTTTTTGTTGACGGATGGCCCGAGCATACTGAATTTACGAGAGGAACAGACCTTCCGTTACCCGACTATAACAATTTTCGAAAAGAAAGCAGGTTTGAGTTAGTCAAATATTTATGATTTCGATTTTTTCCAAAATATGGAAGCATGCCGGACAAATAGAACCTGAATAGGCTTTGCACTGTTCACAAGTCCCATAGACCGCGTCGTATGATAAGTCTCCTCAATAACCCATTAAGCGTTTAATGCGAGTTATCAAAGTCCACCTTCAACACACTGATCGTACCTTGTCAGTGTGCCTACAGATGTGCTAAATCTTTTTTGCCATCAAACAGTCACCACATTCGCGTCTTCGCATCTATTTTATGCCTGTGTTGACTGTCATAACATTAAAGTTGTATAACCTTAAAAGCAGCTTTCACACCAACAACAAAGTCAGGCTTTAAATGGAATGCAGAATCAACTTGCCACTTGATGGAAACAAAGACACAGCTAGTTCGTCTAAGTGGTGAAGAGGCTTGGTCTACGACACAATCCTCTGAGCTAATGGGAGCTTTCCAGATAAAATTTTTGCAAACGATTTATAGACCAACACTGCGGCTCCGTGTGTGCAGGCAGAGGAATAGAGGGACTACCACTCTGATCGGGTTAAGAACTCTCGTCTTCAGTTCTGTGTGCTTTCACTTGACGATGAACGGTGAACATTAAAAACGACTGCAATTTTGACTCGGCTCTAACTCTGTGAGCAAAGATTAAAAAGATTGATAATTCTAAATTATTTAAATTGCTTTACAGTTCTTTTTCCTTCCCTTATAGTTACAATCTTAAGGGGTAAAGCTAATCTAGAGGTTGAAAAATAGACTAATTTTTAAAAATTTATTGTAGGAATATGGGAAAAAGAATAGAATTTCTATTCAACCATTTCATGGAACATATACCGAAGTATAAAAAATACTCTGTGGTGATTATTTTGTTACAAAATGGCGGTGATAAAGTCTATTATTTAATATATGCTTTTTTTAAAAGGCGTCCACGGTAAGACCGATTTTTTCTAAAGAATGAGACCTAGAACAGAAAAGCAAAAAGTTTTATGATCTACAAACTATGGTTTTTGGGAGTACGTACGAATTTATTTTTTTTTTTACTAATTTTTGTAAAAGCGGCAAACCTTTTTTTTAAAGATTGCTGCGGTGCTGCAGCAAGATAAAAAGTTTAGCTATTTGAAATATTTTTTTCACTTTAAACGTAATTGCATATCATTTGTAGAACCGAACTAAAGGTACACTGTGAAAAGAAAATGCGTTTTCCAAAATCCTAGAGTGGCTTTATATCTTAAATAAAAATGCAGCTGATATCCTTAACTCACCTATGGCTATTATTTATCCATAATAAATTTTCTAAATAATAAACAACTTTAGTTATGGTTTTTAAAGAAGCACATTTTCATACTTTATTTTATTTAAATGTTTTGTTCATATCTCTTTACACTATCATTTATCATCATTACAATTCTTAAATCATCATCATCATCATCACTATCATATTCTTTATCATACTCTTTATCATCACTATTATTCACTTAACTGAACAATGCAGCAAATAATTTGCTGCGTACACGACTACTCTCACATATATAGTACATTTATGTATAGTAATTATTAAATATTTTAGATATACAACTAATTTTATTCATCAATAAACAATTACAAATATCAATTAAGCATTAGAAGTCACTTTCTTAGTAGATTAATTAATTAGGTTTTTATTTTGCAAACTGGTTTTTGCTCCATTTCTCGATTATTCATTTATTACATATTAACATAGTTCAAAATTTATGCATTATTTCTTTACATTTATCATTCATACAATGTGTGTTGTTTGTTTATAATAAAAAATATATATATTCTTTATGCTTTAATACCTATAAGTATGTAAAATATATATGCATATAACTTACATACATACATAAAAATACTAAATAAAAAGCGCTAACTTAAACATTTGACTTTTATACATTAAAATTATACATATAAAATATTTTATTATTATTATGATTATTATTTTAAAATTAATTTATTTTAACGACATTGATTAGGAAAAAAGGAGTACCATAAATATTTATTACATTAAAAAATAAAAAATAAAGTAACAAAGAGACTAGTTAAAAGTTTGTTTGGATGTTTTTTATTTTGTTGAAATTCGTTCATACTCTTACTATCGTTTCGCTCTAACACTGCGCGCTCGCTTTACTCCATTGGCTTTATTTATATTTCGACACGCTTTATGTATTGTATTTTACGAGTAGTTGCTGATTGTTGGCTGCTACTCTTCACTAGTTTATTTAGTACTATATATGTATGTCTGTTTGTATGTATATATGTATATATATATATAGCTTATGTGTCGTTTTTTTGCTTTTAATTCAACTTAATGCTGAATTTACAAGAATTTTTGGGCTTCTCTTACGTACTGTTGTCTATTTACAATTGCGATATTTTGTTGCTAAATGTTTGCTCTAATGCAGCTAAAATAACTATTTGTTCATGGTTTGAACAAGTGCTGGAACATGTGTATGTATGTATGTATATGTTTACATATTATATATATTTATATAATTGTAAGTATTATTTTTTAATGATTATATTTTTTGTTTATTATTATATGCATATGTATTTATGTGTGTATTAGCTATTGTATTTTTTTTTTGCATTCGAAATATTTTTACTATTTAAGGTTCTAATTTACTTATAGATTTTTTTACGGCGAAAATTGTTTTTAATTTTTGTTGTACATATTGATTTTTCTGTCTTTACGCATGTATACACAAGAAAAAAATGTTGTAGCTATATTTTTCTCTTTTAATTTACAAAAATAGTGTACGGTTTTTCATTTTTCTCTTTTTGTAAGGTATCACATACTCAGCGGTGATATAAATTTTTTTCGTCAAATTTAAGTAGATTTGAAAGAAAATGGACTGAGATTATACTGAGTAAAGCAATATTTATTTACTTAAATTTTTTTTTGTACGCTGTGCTGCGGTCTGCTTCAATATATAAGTAATAGAAATATAAACAAAATTTTAAAAGAAAATTGAGCCGAAAACGGATAAAAGAAAACCAAGTGATTTAGGCAAGTGCAAGGCAAAGTGGATAAAAGAAATTAATGTACAAGGAAAAAGATATAAAATGAATATATACACATAAGGAAATACGCTGAAGAGGCTGTCCTTCTTATATTGCTTTAACACTACAACACATCAAAATTTGAATATTCTTGCTACACCAACTTGCTGCTGCTACATACAAATTTTCCCTTTTTCTCTGGCTAGAGAAAGACCTTTTAAAATCTCTCTCTCTCCACACTATATAATAACACTCAGTGTCATCATTGATTTGTATATTTACTTTATTTATTTTTATTTTATTAGTTTTTTTTGTTTTTGTGTGTTTTTCATACGTACAAACTATGCAATAAATTATTATTTAAACTTATAAAATAGAAATAAAGCGAAAATACTAAAATATACAACAATCTTTTAATATGGTAAAATGTATATATATGTATATGCAGCTAACGAGGTTTAAAAATTTCTTTTAACGTATGTATGTATTGATGTGTGTTTACAATAAGCAGCCTTCTTTTTACACATACAAACACAAGAAGGTTGAAAGTTGAATTGAAAATTTAATTTTTATTCATGCATTTCTAGCTACAATTTATATGCTCATCAAATTAAATATTAACTTTTTATTATTTCATATGCGTTTAATGTGACAAACATTTGCTTGTCGTAAGCAAAATCAGTTTATATAATACTATATTGTTTGTGTATATTGCATATATATATATATATATACATATTTTATAATCTTGTTATGTGTTGTAAAAACTGATTTTACTTAATTCATGCGCCTGTTTGTACACACACACACGCACATACAAGCGAATCCTTAGACAATTAGAGTCTCCGCAGGATTCTGGCGCTGCCTTGCAGTCGCTTTTTATATATTTATTATCATATATTTTCACTTCTTTATATTACAATTAAATTACACATGTCTTTTCATTACATAAAATTCATATAAATTGTAGCTTTAGAATACAGAAGAAAAGTTGAGCTATTTACACATTTGCCTACACACTTGTTTGTGTGTGTTTCTAAGTGAAAATACTTGAGTTTTATGCATAGAAAGCTAGTTGCTAGCGTAACTTAGTAGTCAAAAATCTTATAACAGATTTTTCTTTACAATAAAATAGTATAAGTTATAATTAAAAATTGTTTTTTTTCCTTCTATGGATGCGTAAATAGAGCAGCACTACAATACGAAATGTAATTATAATTTAAAAAAAAAAGTTTGTAATGTTAAAAAATTAATATATAATAATAATTTAATCAACAGACCACAGCAAGTTTACAAAATGGCTTGAAAATAAAGTATTGTAAAATTGTAAGTTTTTCAATACATTTCTAAGTTTAGTGGTAAATTTTCAGTTTAGAAAAAAAAATAAATAAATACAAAAACGATTTGCATTACAAAAATGTGTTAGCGTGTTTTTGTATGTATGTAAATTGCATTGTTCAAATGTTTTTTTTAATATTTTACAGCTTTTATTGTTGTTTATTATTTGTTTATGTTAAATTTCGATCAACTATTTACATTTGCGAAAAATCTTTTGGAAAAATTTTATTATTTAGAAAAATTAAGAATAATTTTTTTCTTTTAGAAAAATATAAATGATTTGCTTTTAATTTTTCCAATTCAATTTTTTTCATTTGATCAATGGAAATGTAAAAAGTGCACAGCTAAACTTTAACGCGAATGATTTGCTGTTTCAAGTGCAAAATACGCAATTCAAAGCATTTCGCGCGCGCACACACACACATACACAAAGCACTGGGCACGAAGTATAAATTAAAATTTGAATTTACAAAAGATTTCCAACTTAACTAAAAGCACCTTAACTATGCAATTATTCTGTGCACGTTGGAAAGTCCAACAATTAGCTTTTAATTTCAAAAATTTCATCCTCAAATAATACAAAATAATAATAATTAAAAAAATGAATTAACTTTTAAGCATCTTTTGTGTGTGTGTGTATGCTTTGCTTAGGTGTTTTTTTTTACTTTTTTGCAAATTACTATTATTGCGGCTGCACAGTTTTGCTGCAATTTATCACATTCTTTTGTTTTATAAGTACATCGCGTTATTTTGCGTGTGTGTGTGTGTTAGTCTTTTGTATTTAATTTCAAAATGTAATTTTATGCTTGACATTACTTTAACTGCAATTTACTGAAGTTTTCGCCTTTGCTTTGCTTTGCATCTGAAAATTTTGCGCTATTAATTTAATTTTTTTCGTGTTCTTGTAATTTTCAACGCTGGTTTTTTTTTAAATTTTTCTTAAACAGATGCTTTTTTCAAAATAGAAAGTTGTATGCCACAACTTTTAGTTTTTGATTTGCATGTACAACTTTTTCTTTAGTATTTTATAATTTCAACTTTTTTAGTATTTTATAATTTCCACTTTGTGTAATGGTTCAAATTGCTTTTCCTCTGTGTCTGTATGCAGAGTAATTTTTTGAAAATAAAAATTTTACAAATTTTTGCAATACTAAGCGCAAATTTCTACTCGCTTAGATACAAGTATTTTTTTGCGCAATTTTTTATTTTTTCCCTTTACATACATATATTTTTTTGCAACTTTTACATATGTTCATTTCCCTGATGATTTCTTTTTTTGTTGTTTGCTTTTACATTTGCTCGCTTTTTTATATTTTTTTTTTTTGGTTACAGAGTTTTATTTAGATTTTCATTTTTAAACAATTTTACTTATATTTTATTAGATGTTTGTTACAGATTTTTCCAATACATACATATACATGCAATTAGCTTTGTTGGTTGCTGTTTTGCAATATTATAATACAGTTATAATATGATTTACGCTTGTTTTGTAATCATATCAACACAAATCATATGGTTCAAAGAAAAAAATAATTGTAAATTACAGAAAACTTAAAATTAAAACCAACTTCAAGTGTTATCAAAGAGAAAGATTTTTGAGTTCAAACAATTTTTTCCTAATCTGCTTATACATATCGCTTGTATTGTTGGTCATATTGCTATATGAGCTGTATTTATCTGCGCTTTTCAAGTGTCAGTGAAAAGTTAAAATTTAATTAAATTAAAAAAAAAAAAATTATTTATGTTATAACAAATGTAGGCAGAAAATTTGCAAAATTATTTCAAATTATTATCGTTTCTTTATTTACAATTTCTGCATGGAATGGCGCTTTGTTGTTGTTTCATGTTTTATGCGCTTGCAGTTTTAAATTTTCTTTGCATTTTCCTGCTCTACTCTTTATGTCATCTTTTTCTACTGTTGCAAATCTATTATTGTATGCATCATACAGTTTTACTATTGCCATATTTGTTATTTTAGTTGCACTGTAGTTGTTGTTCTTGTATTATTTTATTTTGCATTTCTTTTTTCTAATTTTCAACGTCTCAACTTTAGTTAATACCTCTTCTTTTCTTGTAAGTATGTATGTATGTATGCATGTTTGAAATATTAAATAAAAAAAATTGAGTTATATCACATTTAACATGATTATTCATCCATATATTCATTCATTCTCTCTGGTCTCGGTTTGCCGTTTGTACGTGTCGTGTCAACATGTTGCACAGAGTATTTTCAGTTGTGTCTATTCGCATTAGCAACATGTTGCCGCTACAAGGCAAACGTATTGCCGCCCAGTGTTCGAGTGAGTTTGTGTACATGAGCGTATGTGTGTGTGTGTGTGTGTGTGTGTGTGCGTGTGGGTGGGTTTCACCTGCTGGCGTTGTGTGAAGTATATAAAGTTGCGCTACACAGCAAATTCAACATGTTGCCAGCAACATGTGCCGCAGCGGGTGTTGTGCGCAACTGTTTGAAGTTTAAGCCACACAAAGCTCTTCGGACTGTGACTTAAAGCATGCATTCATGTGTGTTTTCAAGTTGTTGGTTGTTGCATTGTGTTTTTGAAGGCGGCGCGCTCTAAGCATGGCTGGCTTTACGCTCATTTAAAATGTCTTAAAGCAATATTTTTTTAAATGTTTGCAGTTTTTTGAAAAATTATGCCGCATTCGATTTATACAATTGATTTTCTGATATGAAAAAATAAATATAGATGTTTGTATATATAAAATATGTCAATTTTAATGGTGTTGTTTATTATCTTGCAATGCATTTTTCTCTAAAGCTGCAAACATTTTTTTTAGCGCTTTTTCGCATTCTAATAAACTCATTAGTTTATTTATTACAATATTTAATTATTTGTGGCAATAAAAATCTCTTTTTTTTACATTAAAAAAATACTCTTATGCCGTTACGCAGTCTTTTCAATCAACATTCGTGCTTAAAAAAAATTAACAACAATAAAGGAAATAAAAAGAGTATCTGCTTAACGAGCGCTGTTTGCAACAACACATAACCCCAAAACAACAACACAATTAATTTATGTTTTCAGTACAACTGCACACAATACGCGCACACACACACACACACATGCATCATTTTCAACACTTATCTCCGCCTCCTCTTCAGCCTGCTCCTTCTCAGCCATCAACAACAACAACATCACATCATCATTCTCATCTACATCAATTATGTAACTCCACATTCAGCTACCCAAAAACTGGTGCCGCTTCGAGAAAGTATGGTTTTGTTTTGTTTTTTGTTTTTGTTTTTACAATATAATGCTACGCCTCGCTTCAACTAAGCTTGTTTTTTTTGCTTTTTTTGTTTGTGAATTTCTTTCAAATTTCATTAAACGCTTCATTTGTTACGTTGCTGCGTTTAGGAGGACGGCAATGGACCATTTGTTGTGGCTGCTGAATTTTCTGTTTCTGCTGTTGTTGTTGTTGCTGCTGCAGCGACTGTTGCGCTTGCTGCTGTTGTTGTTGTCTCAGTCGCTGGACTGGCATCATTGCTCTCATTATTAACCACTGCAGCAGTGGTTGGCGTGCCAGCTTGCTGTTGTTGCTGCTGCTGCTGCTGCTGCTGTGGCTGCTGTGGTGCCGCTGCAATCATATTATTTGCCGACGCATTTGTAGCATTTGTATTGCCCGCCGTAATTGCTGGTGTGCCAGTACCGCTGCCATTGCTGCTGCTGTTGCTGCCGGCGATCTGCAATTGTGTTTGCATTTGCAATTGTTGCAACATCTCCTGTGACATATTCGACTTCAGGATGGTATTCTCAACTTCAAGTTGATTAATCTTATCCATTAGCTCGGAAATTTTCTCCTTGAGTACTTCAACTTCCTCGCGAACAGCTATCATAAGATGGGATTTGACCAGATCCTGGAGAAGAGATGAAGAGAAAGAGAGAGAGAGAGAAGGATTAGATATTAGTTGAATGGGTAAATGCAAAGTAGTATACATCATATATGTTGATATATTGACAAATAGTAAGTATGTATGTTGAAATATGCAAATTAGAATATACATATTGACTTTAAATATCTACGCTTATATAAATAAATAAATAAATAAATAAATAAAAAAATAAATAAATAAATAAATAAATAAATAAATAAATAAATAAATAAATAAATAAATAACTAAATAAATAAATAAATAAATAAATAGAGAAAGGTAAACCACACTTAATGAAATCTCTGCAAATAACATGTAGTTGTTAAACAAAATCTCATATTTATTCATTTATTTTTATTGGTCTTTAATTGTGAAGACATGGATGCCTCTTCTTCCCCCACAATACAACTAACACGTGCTTCAAAATTTTTTAAATCAATATTTTCGTGCTTAAACACACACCGACAATGTCTCAACCTGACGGATCAATAAATATGTATGTATGTGTGTACAAACATATGCAAGCATACGCAGCTTTGCTTTAGCTGACTGATTTCGGTTGTATACATATATATATATATGTGTATATATGTGTGCATAATATCTATATAGAAAAAATTGTATATACACATGTGCACATATCAAGTCAAAAATATAAATCAAATAAAATACTATGTATGTATGTATATATATGTATGTGCACTACCTGCCTGCATGACTTTTTGTTTATTACTGGTAAAATGAGAGTTTTGCAAGCTTCTCGCTGCTGAAAAAAATGTAAATATTTGTCTATACGGCAAATTTTATAAGCCCATATACATATGTACATACATATTTATATACACAAGTTATATCGTGTGTTAAAAAAAAAAAAGAATAAATAAAAAAAAAAAATAAATAATGAAAAATTAAATTTCGAGATAATTTTTAGACTGATGAGATAAGTAAATAAATTTATCTAAAAATGTGTTTATACTATTATTATCATAGTTATAAACATTTTTTTATTGACTTGAAATTATATAAGCGTTTAAAAAGTGGCACAAGAGCGACAAAAGAAATACGAAATCAATATTTCAGTTATTAAATTACCGCTTTTTTATATGAAATTTTCTCTTAATATTTTCACACTTGTAGTTTAACTATTTTTAACTACTCTTTTGTGCAATTCTTCTTCTTATTCCAAGTACTACTCAATATAATTGCCTATAAAAGGCTGACAAGACACAATATGCATTTAATACGATAAGCTCATAAGCCATTCTTATAAATTCACTGCAACAAAAGAACATAAAAATAATTGCAGCTTTTGTTATATTCAGGAAAAAAATAAAAAAAACAAAATGATATGAGGAAAAATCCAATTAAATAAAAAATAATGTAAGAAACCAATGTGTACACATATATAAAAAAAATAATGAAAAAAAAAAAAAAAAAAAAAAAAAAAAAAAAAAAATAAAAACAATTAAAAACATTAATTTAAAATAAAAAATAAATACAATAAAATAAAATTAAAAATAAAAAATAAGTACCATATCTCTTAATAACAAAAATGGTATAAGCAATATGAAAAGTTAAATTAAATAAAAAATAATTAAAAATAAAAATAATAAATACATATAAAAAGATAAATAAATGAAAATAAAAAAAATATAAAGTAAAATTAAATTAAAATAAATGAGATAAAAAAAGAAATAAAAGTAAAATTAAATTAAATTAAATAAGACAAAATAAAATAAGACCAGTTATAAAAAAAGAAATAAAAATAAAATGAAATTAATTAATACAATAAATACAAATAATATAATACAATAAAAGAAAATAAAATTAAATAAAATAAGCAGATTACAAAAATCCTGAAATTGTCATAAACTATTGCAAATAAGCACACAACATTCCCATTTATGAAATGGTATTTTTTAAATCAATATTTTCCTAGAAATATGCCAGAAAATGGCATGCAATCCACAGAATACTTTTCTAATGGGTTCTATGCGAGGACAACAAGCAAAATTGCAGCAAAAAAATTAGCATTGCGACACGAAACCGAAATGGAAATTGATTATATTGACGTGATTTAAAAAAGTTCTGTGCATAGGCAAAATAAAACAAGTCCAAAATCCCTTTAAAGATCAGAAATATGAGATTTTTTTTAGCAGAAAGTTGGCATGTTCTACCTGACTTAATTGTAAAGTTCAATTATTTAGTTAATTGAGTTTGAAGAAAAAACCAAATTGTTTTCAAAGAATTCATTTTTGTTTTATTTCATTTTTTTTTTTGCGCAGCAGCTAATACGCTCAACACACCATACCACGCCGTTAAAGAAAAATAGCGCTAATTATCATATAAAAGTTTGCACGTCACGCCACGCAAAATATGATTCATTTCATTTGCTGTGATTGCAGTGGCACACCACGGACGCTCTCCATTCATTCACTAACGGCAAGGCAAGCGAGAAGACAACAATACCGCGCCGTGCACACCTACAATCAATCACGCCATAAAAATAAATGCAACATACCAACGCACAAACAACGCTGACAGCAACAACACGCCAACGCCAACACTTGAAGAAATGTACGCAAGCAGCAAATTGCTGTCAAAGCATGTGGCATGTATCATTCAAACTTGGCTACAGGCAAATGTACATGAAAAAAAAAAAAAAAAAAAAAATAGCAACACCGAAATGAAAGTAGAACGTGAAAAATTCATGGTTTCATATTTTTCTACCGAATAATATTCTAATATTTCTCTGCCCAAAGGCACTAAAAAATCAATTTTTTACATATTTTCCAAAGTATTTCAGTTGTTTGTGGCGTTGAAAGTGTTTTTGGTATTGGTATGAGCGCACAAAGCGGACCAGTGGGACACTTGAAATATATTGACAAGCAAAACTACAAACGCTATAAAAGAAAGGCGAGTATGAGAGAAAGGCTACGTGGTTGACGGTGGGTGTTAAAATGAGGCAAGTGTGCTTATGGAAATAACAGCTGTGCTGTCACTTTCCACCAATGGCATGTCATTAGTATTTGCACATGTGCCGATAATTTTGTGAAAATTGCATGACAGTTTTTGGGGTGGTTGGCATACATAATATATGTATACTTAGTTATATGACAAAAGCTAGTTGCGATAGACATCAGTAGTGACGAGGTGGGGAGTATGTGACACACATGCGAAAAAATCAATTAGATAATATCAGTAAATGACTCGGAGCAAGTGAGAGGGAGATAGAAATTACATAAAAAATGACAATGCAAGAGAAAAAATAACAAACCAAGGAAAAAAAATTCGGGCCGGATATTTCAACTAAATATCTATGTAATAACTTCGAAATGCTGGTAAAAAGGGAAAGTATTCTGAAAATATATATGTTCATAGATTTATAGACTTCTTCCAATCATCTTATCTTACGCTCTCCAAGAAAGTGTGTCAATTCGGCAAAAAAAAATAAAAAAAAAAACGCTGGTGAATGCGCGGCCTTGCTATGTATATGCTGATGAAAAAATCAGCAAAATGAAAAATTATGCCACTTTAGCACACACCCAATCAAATAACTAGGTGTAAGCGTAGTGGAAAGAAAAACTAAAAAAAATAGTGTTAAGTAGTTAACCCAATTTTTCATGCGATGGCAGATAAGACAAAGCTCATTTGAGTAAAAAAAAAATATAAAAGTGATAGTTTCGTATTGAGGCATATAAAAGATGAAAATAAAGCTGACAGATTTTAATGCAATTATATACTACTATATAAATATATACGAAAAAATAATAAAAGAATTGAAAAAAATTTATATACACGTATATATTTGGGAATGGGTAATAAAAGAAAGAGTTATATAAGAATCAAGAATAATAATATAAAAATTATTAAGAACAAGAAAATATTAATAGAAAAAAAAAATTACAGAAAAAAAACAAAATTATAATAGAAGGAGTTATGTTTGAGAAAATACTTCTTACTTACTGCGAAAATAATAAAACTACCAAAATTATATACAAAAAAAAATTATTAAATAAAAACGGGAAAAAATATTTAGCAAAAAATTACAATAGCGAAAATTATATGTGAATAAGAGAAAATAGTAATAATCAAAATAATCTAAAAATAGAAAAGTTTACTTAGAAAAAAAAAATGTTAAAAGAAAAAGTTATAAATAAAAAAAATTATAATAATAATTATTTTATACCTAATTTTTCCTTTTTAACAAATTAAATACAAATTGCATGGCAAAAAAATATATTTTTGCTTTTTTGTCACAGCCAAAAGTCATTGTGCGCTTAATGCTTACGAATTTTTTGCGCTTACTTACAGCCATACATACATGGATATGTTTATAAATACATTTTGTTTATATGTAAAATTCTATGCGACAAAAAAGAAATGAATAAAGAGCGATAAATATAAGAATTAAATCCAATTTTTCTATTGCTTTGCATACAACTTTGAAAAGTGTTTGCTCAGAGGCAAATGACCAATCATCATTGTAGAAATACTTTTGCAACACGTGCCAAATATTTTTGCCTATTTTTTCGGTATTCATTATTATTATTTTTTTGTGTTTGTTGTTGATGAAATACAAAAACGTATTTAAGAAATTACCAGACAAACAGATATATATTACTCAAATATATATATATATAAACGAAATATGTGTCATATTTTACTAAATGAGTGCAGCAGCAAACATTTAGGTAATTAAAAACTAATTTATAGCAAAATGTTTTTTTTTGTATTTTTTTTTGCTGTAAAAGAAATTATTTTATTTTACATTAAAAACATTTCGGTATTTTGTAAATGAAAAATCAGCTGTTGAGCAAAAGTTTTCGTAAAATTTTCTGCTCTTGCGTTGAACCCGAAAGTTTTGGCTTATTGCCTAAAAAATTATTAATAACTCAATTTTCTATGGTATGCCTCATACCCAATAATTGGAGAGATTTGCAAATTTTTATAAACAATATGACACTTAGCAAACTAAGCATTGG